AGTTCATGTATTAAAGGAATAGTTCAGCATATTGGGAAATATGCGTCTTCACTTGCCAAGAGTTAGAAGATTGAGAACACTTTCATGACTATAAATATAAAGCTGCAGCCAGCAGCTGGTTGGCTTAGCTTAGCACAAAGTAGCTCTGTGCAAATGTGACAAAATCATTTGTTTAATCCATCCAAAAACCAAAGTGTAAAAACAACACATTGCGTTTTTTTTAAATAATATGTTAACACATCAGTCTTTTACCAAAGAAGCTAAACTAAACGGCCAAATACTGTATTAGAACTGCCCTCTTTAATCTGCTAGTACCAGTTCTCTCCCAATTTCCCAAAAAAATCATATTCTGCTGTCTCATTCTTGGTTACACCTACTGCTGTATATTGTTGCTCATATCATGTAATATGATATAGCAGTAAAGCTATGTAGATGTTTTATTCACCCTAAATATTTGTTTATGTTTGCTGTTAATCATCTTTAGTCACCTCACCTTTTCCTCACTCGGTTGCTGACTGGGCCAGAGGATGAAGCAGTTCTCTGCTCAGGATGTAGATAAGTCAAACCAGACTGGAGTTTTCTTGTTTTCTTAAACATTTAACATTGTTAAGTGAACAGAGATAATGTACAGTGATTTTAGTGACAGTGCTGTGGAGAATGATTATCATTGTCTGTTCTGTCTTGCTTCCTTAAAACAACAGCTCCAGTGGAGATCTTCTGAAAATTTGTAATTTAGCAAAGGAATCTGGAGAATTCTGTGGATTGATTCTTGTCAATACGTACAGGGTAACCTGGAAAACACTGGTCCAAGTTTTACTAAACTACTAACAATAGTGTTTTGCCAGTCGCAGTGGGGTTGCTCTATTATATTTTCCATGTAGATTAATGGGAAGGTGGAGTCAGGCCATAGTAGTGAAAATCCTCCATAATCCTTTGTTCCAAAAATCCAGTCAGAAAGCGCTTGTATGCAAATGTATTATGGTATGTAGAGGCAAATCTTTGAGAATTAACAGTATGTGAATGGGTTTTGCTTTATAGGAGAACATGGGGTAACGTTATGTATGTTTAATTGTTTTAGTTTTCTCTGTCAGAAACTCTTATAGACTGTGTAGGTGCATTTGGTAAAAAATCTTATTGTATCTGTGGAGTTTGTCCTGAAGATTCATTGTTCATTCACTAATAATAGTATTTTGGCTTTGTTTGACTTCTTTTATTCGAGTTTCTTGCTAAAGGCCTGCCTTGTGTTTGAGTAGATGGACCAGTGCTTGGACCTTGTCACATTCACATTTGAATAAACTGATGTAGGTCTGTACGTCATACCACGATTACATGTTGGTCTTACCACTTGTATTATAGTTTTTGCCCCTCTGTGCTTGTGTGGGTTTCTGTAGACTTGTATGGACTTGCATGTTCCTGCACAGAGAGTCTTATATTACTTATCAGTGGAGCAGTTTGCAACTTAATGCACCGAGCTGTTAAATAGTTTCTATTCATATCATGTTTTTACTTGTTCCTCAAGGTTTTACTCTTCTAACCAAGATACAATTGATGTCAAGTGCTCAGTGGTAGCTCAACCCTTCCCATGGCCCATGTAGCTAATGTATAATGATGTGCTGTTCATGGTGAGCAGAATAATATATTCCAAAAAAGGGCTCCATGTTTCTTGGAATGCTCCTTCAAGCCCATGAGGGAGAATTTAAGTTTCTCTGGTTTACTATTATATAGAACTTCCTTAATACATTGAAAGTGTGCAGGGGGAGAAGTAGGCTTACATTTCGGGAGAATCAAAAGGCTGACCAGTAAAGTTGTGAAGGCCAGGACCACGTAGCAACAGAGAGGCCAGTATAAGGTAGAGCAAAAAAGATGACAGATAAAGAATTAGGGACAATGACAACATCATACGCCTCATTTATAGTTTCAAATATGTTCGACCAGAAGTTTTATAACTGAGAACAAGACAGGAATATGTGAATGAGATTAGCAGGGGGTTGTGTACAGCGATTTCAGGCATCACTGACATCAAGGTGCATTTTGGCTAGTCTGGCAGTAGTATAGTGGATTCTGTGTAGAAGTTTGCTTTGAATTAGCCTATAACGGGCACATAAGTAGGATGAATGGACCAGATCTAGATTGTGGTTCCACACTTCAATACATAGGCTATGTCTGTTATTAGGTCCTTTTTCCAGGCTTATTTGGTTTTGGTAGGGAGACTTGGATTGAGTCCATGGGCTCGCAAATAATTGAGATGCCCATCCTTTGGTTAGGATCTATAGTCAGAAAGACGTCCATTGATTTACCCTGATAGAAATTAAGAGCTTGGGCAGGACAATCATTTAAACAAGCTTATTCTTTATTCTGTCTATGAAAAAAAAAAGGACTAAAGTTTTTACCAAAACTTTGGACATAGTCGTTGTTATCGAAGATTCCTAAATATTGAAACTCACCCTTTGCCCAATTAAATGCAGCCAGGGAGCATGGAGGCTGTCCTGCCAATGAATTAACCAGTTGCAGTTTGGTCTTTTGGTTATTAAGGCTTTTTCCGAATTAAGATACGGAGAATGACAGAATGTGATCTGGCAGGGTTTGTTTAGTTTGTGTACAGTAGCAGATCATCAGCGTAAAGCGATCATTTGTGTGTTGTGTCTAATCGCTTAATACCCTCAAATTGTATTGCTGTTGCAATTGCAGACAATAAAGGCAACAGAGGAAAGCCCAGCCCAAGGGAAAAAGAGGGTGACTGCATGTTTGTTTGTACTGAAGCCACTGGGAAAGGGTACAATAGCTTAACCCATGAAATGAAGTCCTCACTGAGGCCAAATCTCTTGATAGCTGTAAAGTGGTACCTATATTCCACCCTGTCAAAAGCTTTTTCTGCATCAAGCGATGCCGCCATCTCTGGAGTGTTTGACCAAGGCATATTTAGAATGTTAGGAGCCTTCTGTTTGAGAGGCATCACCCGCTGCAGACGGAGGGCGAGAGCTTTAGATAAGATCTTAAAATGAACGTTTAAAAGTGAGATTGGTTTGTAATTATGATAAATTAGGTGGTCTTTGTCCTTTTTTAGAATAATGTATTGTCTAATGTATTGTCTTTTATGTCTTGGAGGGAATCTGAAGTATATTTAGATTAGTAGATATATTTGCTAGAACCTAACAGATGTTTCATTAATACTCTCTCCATCCAATACCGATATCGCCAGATCAGTGTAAAAATAGTTTGTACTCAGTCCTCAATCGGTAGTGTGGAATTAAATCTCCAGTGTTGGAAGGTGTTGTGCTGTCTGGTGAGGCTGGTTTCTAGGTTGGGGCATGGTCCGATGTTACAATGCTATGGTAGTTGCAAAAGTTTAAGAGGTCATATTATGCTTCTTGGCCTTTTCCCTCTTGTTTATTGAGTTATATCTTTTTGTGCATATAATAGGTTTGCAAAGTGAAAAAGCCCAAAGTCCATCCCAAAGGGAGTTCCCATCCCACAAAAAACACTGCTCTGAACTGCCTGAAAACAGCTTGTTTGTAGTTCAGCCTTTGCTGCCACTTTCTTGTGATGTCACAAGAAAACACAGGTCATAATACTCGCCTAGCGGCTAGTCAGACACTCCCTCAAAAACACCGGTGGAAAAACACACTGAGCTGCAGCACACAGTGACAAGACGTCCGCCTGCTGCCTGTCCTCTCCTTTCCAAACATTAGCTACCCTCCAGGCAGTCCATCCATCCATCCATCCGTCGTCAACCGCTTATCCTGCGTACAGGGTCGCGGAGGGGCTGGACCTATCCAAGCTGACATTGGGCGAAAGGCGGGGTACACCCTGGACAGGTTGCCAGTCCATCGCAGCTCTCCAGGCAGTCAATGGACATAAAGTTGTTACTGTGATGTAGAGACAGTGCTCAGTTAAAACTTTATGTATGAAAGATACATTTGTTACAAATTAATAACTCACCACTCTGAAACTCTTGCTCCAGTCTATGTTGCTAAGCTGGAAAGGGGAATATGTACAGCTGAACGGCCCGAAGCCGAGTTTACCGGCTTTTCAGGGCCCGTCCTACTCTGCTTCTAATTAGTCTTTTAAGTAGTAGTTAACTCGGTACTGCGCATGTGCAACTCCCAACAAAGATCTTGTAGAAGTGAGATGCGTCACTTCATAGCTTTAACAGAGTGTTTAACACAGGTGAAAAAAGGTGCTGCAGCAATGTGTGGTTTGACAAAAAATATGGTGTTTTTTGAAAATGAAACCATGGAAACCTGTTCTGGTACAACAACCAAAATAAAATGACGAACATGATAATGAGCATAATACGACCACTTTAGACAGCCCAACCCATTTAGAAAAGATGTCTAACGTCATAGCTGCTTTAGCTAGAGGTGACTCTTTGGGTGTTTGTTATGGTAGCAAGTTTTCCCACCTAGAATTCCACGGAATACATCTTAACATTATTATTTATGTTCACCATACCTCTTTGTTATCGCAGGGTTGATCAAAGTGGCTTGATATCTGTGTAAGAGAATGAGGATGAAGGGGGTGGAAAAAGGTACGAAAAAAGCAGGGAAAGAGACGGAGCGGAAAAAGAGAAAAACAAAAACAACAAGCTTTGTACTTGTACCTGCTTGACCTCTTCTGGTCCCAGCCGCTAATGTTTACACATCCCACAAAAAGGAAAATAGAATAATATAATAAGAAGTAGCTGCAGCTGAACAAGTGGCTATGGGGATTTTTCTAAAACAGGATCCAGCTTACTACTACAAAGTCTTCTTTTTGCCACATTTTTGTATAGAAAAGAATCAGGTAATAATCATAAAGATAGACCCCCATATGGACACACACAACCACATTCACACATACACACACACGCGCACGCATGCACACACATGCACACCTATGGACCAATTTACTGTATTTTAGTAGATAAGACAGCAATGTTAAAATCAGGATGATGATAGCACACATAAAGATTTCACACTCTCTAACCCCCTTCCTTCTCTCTTCTCTTCTTTCTTGCCCAGTTACCCAGAAAACGGTGTGGTGGAGATAAGACCAGTGGATGTGCGGCCACGTGCCAGGACCCTGCTGCGGTGGGACCAGCTCCAGGTGGGCATGCATGTGATGGTCAACTACAATATGGAGACACCAGATGAGAGGGGTTTCTGGTTCGATGCAGAGATCCAGACCATCAACCAAACCTCCCGCACCAACAAGGAGCTCCGAGTCAAGATCCTCCTGGGGTGAGGATCTTCCTTCTAGGTGGGAGGGTGATGCATTGGATGTAGGCCAGGGGGGTCACTGCTGTTTTCTTCTTATGTTCGTTTTTTTGTTTACCACAATGTAAAATGTAACATGTCTCTGCGACTTTCTTCCATCTCTCTGTAACACGCTCGAGAACACATCTTTTCATTTTTTTTATCCAGTTTTCTTTTCTTGTGCTTTCATCTCTATTTCTTTGTCTCTCTCCCTTTCTCTCTCTTGACTCTCGTGCTCCCTCCAGGGGTCCTGGAGATATAATAGGGGATTGTAAAGTTCACTTTCTGGATGAAATCTACCAGGTGGAGAAACCAGGAGCTCGTGCACTCTCAGCTGCAGATGGACAATTTAAACGTATGCAGAAACTCATACATACACAGTGAAAATAGTGGCAACACTTGCCCATATTGCTTTTGAAGGTATATTTTGGCGTGGCCATACCATAAGATCATCTTCTGGTTTCTGATCATACGTGTGCATGTGTCTATGGGTGATACCTTCCTGCTCTTGTATCCAGGGAAAAGCGGGCCGGAGTGTAAGCACTGCAAGGCTGACCCTGACGCCGAGTGTCGCTTCTGCTCCTGCTGTGTGTGTGGTGGGAAGCAGGATGCTCACATGCAACTGCTGTGTGATGAGTGTAACATGGCGTTCCACATCTACTGCCTCAACCCGCCGCTGGCCACCATCCCGGATGACGAGGACTGGTGAGAGGGAGTGTAGCTCAGCAATTAGCCACAACATCCTGCACTTCACAGTCAATTTAAGAAGGCTGATTAATGGTGTTGAGTATGAGCTGAAGTGCATTTAAGCAGTAATTAAGTGGTGATTGAGGTTAAAATCAATATGAAATAATGACAGAATGCAGTCGCAGGTGTGAGTTTATCTAATGGAGTGGCTTTGAATTTCTCTCTGCCAAACAGAAATGAGGATGTGAATAATTGTTTTTTGGCAGTTATTGCTGTTACCAAGCGGAAGAACCCCACCTTCCATTTCCACGTCTCTTTCCACAAAACAGCAAAAAGCTAAACTTCGAAAATGACTGACAACTAGGGGTGTGCGATCTGACAAAAGATGAAATCAGATATTTTCTAGGATTTTGTCTTCAAAAATGTGTTTGCAAAGTCATATGTGAGCATAGCGTGTGTGTGTGTGTGTGTGTGTGTGTGTGGTAGAGGAGGAGGAGACAGAGCGAGTGTGTGTGTGTGTGTGAATGAGTGTGGCAGTATTGCAGCAAAGCAGAGAGCAATAAGCCTTTAGTTTAGCAGTAACGTACAGTGTAAGTTACAGTCGCTGGCGAATAAAGACGGCAGCTTCTTAAAACTAAAGCAGAGCTCCCGTGTGTTGCTTGCCAGCTGTTGAAGAAAGAGTGAAGGCGGTTAGTCCCGTATTTAGCATCGACTTTGGACTGTGAACCAAACAGAAATGGTTAACAATAGGATATGAATTGTTGCTTACTAATGATATTAATGGAAACAGGTCTTATTTATGTGTTTAAAACTGAAGCATTTAAGTGAAAACAATATAAAAACCCTGAAATCACCAGCATTACTGACATCAAACAGTGCAAGTATGAGTAAACTGTTTTATCTGTTGCTACTTTAGCCCTGAGTTCTGTCTGTAGCTGTTGTCTGACTGGCTTTGATTCTGTCATCATTATAGCTGTGTTTTTGTGCTGGTACCTTGGCTAGTTCAGGCCAGTCGTGGACGACTGATTCCCAAAGCTTTTCATATTCTTGACATTCCGTGCGATGGGTATTTTGTGGTCTTTAACAGCAACTGACATAGTTTGACATCTTTTGAACAACATTTGTCTTTTTAAAGCCAAACTACCTCCTTGCGAGTGAGGTTGTCGATCCACTAAAGATTCAATCTAATGATGTAAATTGCGAGGCTGGTGGTGTCAGTGTTTAATCTCCTGGCGCTGTTCACTCATCTTTAACTTCAGTCATGAATTTTGCAGCAGGTATAGCTATAGTGTGTAACTCTAGCACAAGTGTACTGCACGTATTATGCAGTGACTGTGCGGATGATGTGTTTTTGAAAGTTTTTTGCAAAGTGAGTGACATAGCCTACTTGATAATGTCTGCTCACACTTTATTAAAAAACAATTAAGGTATTGTCGTAGATGATACATATCGCACACCCCTACTGACATTGTTCCTTAACTAACTTTTATTGCAGCTTTCTGGGTTACATTGAATTTAAATGTTTGATGGAACATCTCTCTTTAGGGTACCTATTACGAAATGTCAGTGTCTTTGCCTTCTGGCTAATTTGGGGAAGCATTTCTCCTCATTTTACATTGACTTGTGTTTGTCAGAACATGGCCAGTATAGAGGGATGTTGCAGCAGGTTTTTAAAATTCACACATCTGCCTATATCTATAGAGATTATTTGCTCTGATTCTGCCAGGTACTGTCCCACCTGTAAGAACGACACCAGTGAGGTTGTTAAGGCAGGAGAGAAGCTCAAAGCCAGCAAGAAGAAAGCCAAGATGCCTTCGGCAACAACTGAGAGCCAAAGGGACTGGGGAAAGGTGAGCCAGGGGGTACACGCACACATCAGGTGGACTGACTGCACTGTAAGATTGAAAGTAATTATTAACAGTAAGCCTGAGTTAAGGCCTGTGGTTCTCCCTCACTTTGCCCAGAAGAAGCAAAAGTTCTGTGAATGAATACAAAGAGCAATTTGTGTCAAATATTTTTTGGCAACACCAACTTTTCCAGATTGTTTTCCAAAATTCTGCCATCAGTGAAATGCCAAGATAATAGAAAAATGCATTAGTCTCTTGTGCTGTGAACATGTCAGGATCAAGTGGCCTCCAGACGTGAAAGAGAAAGCATTTTTATTTTTCACCAATCAGCTTTACACGGTAACGGTCCATTTTCTAAAACATATCACATCACAACCAGATTACTGAGAATACTTCATAATCATATAAACTAAAATCCTTCAGACCCATAAAAGTTTTTATCATAGCATAACAGTCTAGGTGGAAACAGAACACATAGCACTACAAAAAACACAAAAAAGATTCTTAAACGAAACTGCCGTAAAACTTATATATAAGTATAAGTTATACAGCAGTTTATAACATGTGTTTGTTACAGTGGCAAGGTAGTAAAAGGTCAGTAGCAAAGGTCTGGGCAAGCCATTCATCAGTTGATGGATTCATTCATTCATCCATGCATCACACACACATTTTATGCCATTTACTGTGCAAACTGGTTTGTTCTTCAGTGTATCTATTTTTGAGCGGCTAACTGTCTGCACAGTGTGTTGTATTGTGCGCTATCAAAGATAACCGGCTTGTTTCATGTGAAGAGTTTTGTCTGTACCTCTTTGCAGCTCTGTCAAATATTGCCTGAGCACGCTACGGCCTTTTCCCTCAAATCAGATGATCAGACCAGAAGCTTTTGATGAAGTCAACAATACTTAACATCTACTTGACGTTAGATCAGGCTCCCGGAGTTGATTAGTAATGTTGGTTAGAGTCATAGAATGTTTTGCCAATGCATAAATATTGTTATTGATTATAAAACTCTTGTATGATCATAACATGACTAATGAACAACGTGTACACCTCCTTATTCAATTTTTTTTTTGGTGTCATAGGGCACAAGCGTGAGGGCAAAATGACATTTAGTTAGGCTTTTGACTTGCAAAGCCTCTGAGGTAAACCATAAGACAGAGGAAGACAGCTGACATGTATTTAAAATTTTAAAGAGCATCTGTTTTAAGCATACTGTTAAATATTTTCCTCGCAATCTCCTCAGAGTCTTCTCATGGCAACACTTTGAGATATTGTGTGGCTCAGTTCCATCCTGGCCTGGCTGTCTCCCTGACGCTGTGCTCCATGGTGTAATGTGAACAATGCCATTAAGCATGACTTAGCCACTTTCCTGGAACTGCTAACGGAAAATAACTCATTTCTTTACCAGAATGCTCCCTTTCTCGGTGGACTAATTGAAAACAGCCTGGCTTGTGTGTTTGGGCACATTTAAGTGCCGTGAGTCACACAGCATTTATACTTGCCTTTCACATTATCGCAATTTTATAACCATTAAAATAAAATACTTTTCTTTGTCTTCTCACTTTTGAAATCCTGCGTGCCGCCTAAATGGAATGCTGATGATTTCTGAATCGTTCTCCTTAGATATTCATCATTATATCATAAACTTCAGCAAAACGTCACCCACACCGCAGCAGCAGGCCTGCTCTAAAACCCCACAGCAATGTGATCTGATCGAACATTTAATGGTATTTCTGTGGCTGCAGCTTAGATTATTTGTTGTCTTTCTCAATGTGATTGCAGGGTATGGCCTGTGTGGGGCGTACCAAAGAGTGCACAATTGTTCCTTCGAACCACTATGGACCCATACCTGGTATTCCTGTTGGAACCACCTGGAAATTCAGAGTTCAGGTTAGCTGTTTTTACATGACATCATAAATGAATTAGGCATACATTAAAATACAAAAGAAATTGAGAAATGAGTGAAGTCGTCCATGTTTCATCCTGTCATTATGGATTATATTGTCATGTCTTTCTGTAATATAAAATCTAATACATCACTGCCCATATCATCAATGGATTTTCTCTGCTTATCTGTTTCTTTCTCTGCCTCACTCACACTTCAGGTGAGTGAGGCAGGTGTTCACAGGCCGCATGTCGGTGGTATCCACGGGCGCAGTAACGATGGCTCCTATTCGCTGGTGTTAGCTGGGGGCTTTGAGGATGAAGTGGTGGGTTATTGTTACTTTTTACTAGATGCTTTTTAAACCCCGTTTGTGGATATCATTATTATTTTTTAAGTCTGGCAGGTGTTTTATGAAGAGTCATGTTAGAAATACGTGGATTTTGTATGCCAATAACTTTGTTATGAATACCATGACCTGCCGTAGGACCGGGGAGATGAATTCACCTACACAGGCAGCGGGGGTCGTGACCTCTCGGGAAACAAACGGATTGGAGAACACTCTTTTGACCAGACGCTGACACACATGAACAGGTAATACTTAAAGATGACCTGCCATCTAAAACAAGAAATTCACCATGCACACCAACAACAGTCAGGTGCTGGTAGATAGGGTATAAAAAAATCAAAACAAGCTACCGCACGATGGGCGAAACGTGTTGCTCACAATAAATGCAGTACAGTCAAATCCGTGTGCGGTAGCTTGTTTTTGATTTTTCATGAACTTCCATCTAGTTTGATCACATATATATATATATATATATACCACAGAATGTTTTCACTTAACAGAGAACAGTGTCCACTGAGTCACCATAGTACAAGACATTTAAATTTAAGTTAAGTTGTCTCAGTTCAGGCTGAATTTCTTCTTTCATTTCTGTCAGTTTAGTTGAGCACAGGTGGTCAAATTTACACCATTAAAACATGTGATATGATGACACTGGTATGATGTTTTACCTTAAAGCTATTTAAGTTAAACCATCATATCCCAGGGCAGAAATGCAAATGGATGCTGCTCTAATTATGGCTCTTTTGGAATAAATAAATAAAATAAACAATGGCAAATTGCACAGATTTCTCTACAGTTTTTATTAAATAAATTTTCCCTAATCCCTTAATCAGACTTAATGAACATCATTTTGTCTTGTCTGTAACTCTTGGATCCTGCCTCCTGCAGGGCGTTGGCCTTAAACTGCGATGCACCTCTGAATGACAAAGACGGGGCTGAGTCGAGGAACTGGCGGGCAGGAAAGCCAGTCAGAGTGGTGCGCAGCTCCAAAGGTCGACGCATCAGCAAATACGCTCCTGAGGAGGGAAACCGCTACGATGGTATTTATAAGGTACAGATGCTTTTTTTTGTAAACCAAGAGTCTAAAACAGATCTGCTAACTTCAAGCAACGCTGCTTAAAATACAAACACATTATTACCAATATGGACCAGTACCAGAGTTACCGTAATCTGACAGAAATGTAGGGAAACATGGTAGTTTTAACCATCTGAGTTCAAGCACCTATGACCACAGTAGTGCCACTGAGCAAAGCACTCTATCCCTACTTACACCCTATTTTATGTATTTTATATTATGGTTGTGTGTGAATTTTAGGTGGTAAAGTACTGGCCAGAGATTGGAAAGTGTGGTTACCTGGTTTGGCGGTACCTGCTGAGACGGGACGATTTGGAACCAGCACCATGGACACCTGAAGGACTGGAGAGGATCCAAAAACTGGGGCTTGCTGTTCAGGTTAGACTGCAAATGTCTCTATGTGTATGTAAACTTCACTGTACAGATACCGATATTGGATAGGATATGTATGTTCCACTTGCACATGTACATTTCCAGTTGTACATGTGTAAGCGTAAATACAATTAACTCAGACTGAATACAGAAGCAAAATATTTCCCTTTTCCAAATATTCATCTACTTGTTGCTCATGTCATGTGTCTGCAGTACCCACCAGGCTACTTGGCTGCCATGGCTAACAAAACAAAGAAGGAGGCCTGCGCCAGACCAGGCCGCGGCGGCCGGAGTAAGCACTATCCCGGGAGGGGGAGGCCGCGGAGACAACGCAAGATCAAAGAGAAAGAGGAGAATGACGAGGAAGAGGAGGACGAGCAGCAGATGGCCAGTGTGGAGGATGAAGAGGAGCCACAGAGTAATGGAGAGCAGAAGACAACCAGAGATAGTGGTGGGTGCTTTTACAGATGACGTTCAAAGCAGGTCAGACAAGGTGTTGTGAGAAGAGGACAGGTGAGAACAGAGTGAGCAGTGAAAGTTATTTTAAGATAGTTTGTAAATATTTAATATCCACCAGCATCTTATTTTCCTTAAGCATGCACCACTCTAAACGTCTTTTACTCTCCAAGAGTAGCTGCATTTTTTTAGTCTAATTTGTGTGCCTTTTTCAGAGTCATCACCACCGGCGGAGCCGCCTTCTAAACGGATGAAGATAGAGGAGACCTTCCATCTGTCAGAGCAGCAGCAGCAGTTGATCCGAGAGGACACGGCCAACAAGAAACTCTGGGATGAAGCTATGGAAAACCTTAAAGAGGGACCGGTATGAATCCCAGTAAACTCTGACACTGTAACCCATCTCAGGCTCCTGAATACTGTTTTCACTAAGCATCTCACATAGCAGCCTCCTAAAAGAGAACTCATTGAATGTCACTGATCCACAAAAATGAAAATAATCCCCTTGGTCTTCGTAAAGTCCAACTGAAATCACATTTAGTCAACCTTTTTGCTGTCTGAAATACTTTCAGTGTAATTTTTTATGTATTGTTAATGGTTTTGTATCATTGATAGGAAGAAAAGGGTCTTTGGAGAAATATCAGAAATGCTCCTTTTTGTCTCTGCCTGCTGGAGCCATCTTGTTTGATTGACAGCAGCTGGCAGGCTGCCACAGTGCCGAAAGGGAACAAGAGACAGCTAAGTAGCTGTAGCTAAGTTATGGACAGACAGTATGTTGTTAGCAGTTATTTTGAAGAGTAAGGGCCACACCAGCAACTAACCGGGCCAAAGTGACATTTGCAGTTAGTTTGCACGCTCTTTAATGTGCTGCACCTGAGCAGCTCATTAGCTGTCTAGCAAGCAGTACATTTTCCCCCGCGATTGTTTGTTATGGGGCACATTCAGCAAGCTAAAGTGCAGGACAAGACGTGTGTCCATGTTTGTAAGTTAAATATGAAGGGTACTTTGGCAGGAAAGCTAATGTCAGTTGAGTCTGTGGCTCTTGTGTTGTGTAGCAGGCTGCTGTGTGGCTCAGTATGACTGTCTCCTCTGCTTGTGCTAGAACCCTGATGCTATATTCAATACTTGATTGGCTGTCTCCATCTATGTAGACTGATGTAAATGTATTTATACTAAATGTATTCAAGCCAATTTATGCAAAACAAGGGGCGCCATCATGATACAAAAGAAATGTAAATTTCTCCGTTATGGTTTCTGATTTTGTTTCTCAAAGGGCAATACAGGGTAGGTGATATACAGACCTGATATGTTTAGTTCTTAGACAAACAAATGCAATATAATTTTTAGTTAAATTTTAACTTCCTGTGTCAGTTTCCTCTTGATTAGATGAAGACTAATCTGCCACTGTTTTTGTTTGGCAGAGCTTATGAAAGTTACAATGGCAGTAGCACCAAATGACTTCTAAAAGGATACGACTGTAAAACATTTTCAAGTTGTTTCTACAGTTGTAATATACAATGAACAAAATTATAAATGCAACACTTTTGTTTTTGCCCCCATTCATCATGAGCTGAACTCAAAGATCTAAGACTTTCTCTATGTACACAAAAGGCCTATTTCTCTCAAATATTGTTCACAAATCTGTCGAAATCTGTGTTAGTGAGCACTTCTCCTTTGTCAAGATAATCCATCCACCTCACAGGTGTGGCATATCAAGATGCTGATCAGACAGCATGGGTGTTGCACAGGTGTGCCATAGGCTGGCCACAATAAAAGGCCACTTGAAAATGTGCAGTTCCATCACACAGCACAATGCTGTGTCAAGTTTTGAGGGAGCGTGTAATTGGCATGCTGACTGCAGGAATGTCCACCAGAGCTGTTGCCCGTGAATTGAATGTTCATTTCTCTACAATGAGCCGTCTCCAAAGGCGTTTCAGAGAATTTGGCATTACATCCAACCAACCTCACAATCGCAGACCACGTGTAACCACACCAGCCCAGGACCTCCACATCCAGCATCTTCACCTCCAAGATCATCTGAGACCAGCCACCCAGACAGTTGCTGTAACAATCGGTTTGCATAACCAAAGAATTTCTGCACAAACTGTCAGGAACCGTCTAAGGGAAGCTCATCTTCATGCTTGTCGTCCTCATCAGGGTCTCGACCTGACTGCAACCTTGCATTGAAGAGGAGTGGACCAACATTCCACAGGCCACTATCAACAACCTGATCAACTCTATGCAAAGGAGATGTGTTGCACTATGTGAGGCATATGGTGGTCACGCCAGATACTGACTGGTTTCCAGACCCCCCAACCCTCCCAGTACAGCACTCCCATTTTTGAGTGACCTTTTATTGTGGCCAGCCTAAGGCACACTTGTGCAATACCCATGCTGTGTGATCAGCATCTTGATATGCCACACCTGTGAGGTAGATGGATTATCTTGGCAAAGGAGAAGTGCTCACTAACACAGATTTTGACAGATTTGCAAACAATATTTGAGAGAAATAGGCCTTTTGTGTACATAGAGAAAGTCTTAGATCTTTAAGTTCAGCTCATGATGAATGGGGGCAAAAACAAAAGTGTTGCGTTTATAATTTTGTTCAGTGTATATGTTCTTGTCTGTTATTCCTTTCTTCCTTTTTTCCTTTCCTCATTGCTTACATGTGTTTCTGTCTGTGTGCATAAAAAGAATTTCCTGCGCAAAATGGAGCAGATCTTCATGTGTGTGTGCTGCCAGGAGCTGGCCTTCCAACCCATCACCACCGTCTGCTCACACAATGTCTGCAAGGTGCGTACTTTCTCGACGTGTTTGTAGCTACCACTACTCAGAATCCCTCCCCTTGTATTTGTGTGTGAATCTTTCCTGCCGTCCTCTCTCCTCAGACTTGTCTGCAGCGGTCGTTCCGGGCAAAGGTGTACACCTGCCCCGCCTGCCGTCACGACTTGGGGAAAGATTACGTCATGACCCAAAACGTGACGCTTCAGATGCTGCTCGACCAGTTCTTTCCCGGCTACAGCAAGGGCCGATGAGGTCAAAATCACATTTATAAGTAGAATACTTGCAGACACGCACAGCATCCATTCTGTACACCCACGTATACCGTCAAGTACCTAGAGCTCCACTTTAAAATGCATTGCACACACATACTGTACTTACCCACGGGCAAATGTATATTGCATACAGCCATTTATGTATACAATCATTCATACACAAACAACCTCAGTAGGGACTGACCTCATCTGTTGAACTTGGACTGTCTCCATTAACATCACCAGCCTGAAATTCAATCAAGGACATTTTTTAACCTCCATACTCCTGCCCCACAAACGCACACAAACGCACAAAAGGAGCCCCAAATAACCACCTCAAGATATTAGCTCATTTTTTGTTGTTTGCCCCTCCACTGTGTTGTTCACTGATTCCATAAATTCACACACAGCACACTCTTAGAGTGCAAATTTCTCCCAGGCAATGTGATGAAATCAGCCGTTAGACTCCTGCCAACCTGTATGCATTTTGTGTACCATGTATGCAGTTTTACAGTAAAAAAAAGGTGCTAGTTTAGTATGGTTATTTAGGCACAGCAGGACTGGCAATTTCACAAGGTCACTGAAGACCCACAGATGAGATAACACATTCAATATGGGTAAGTAGGTCATGTGACTGAGAGATGCCCACTTGGCCTGTTATAGCAAGGTAAAATTAGGAAAAACAAGAATGCACATGTATTTATATATGAAATGAAGCACACAGTTGTATTCCGTTAAAGCACTTTATCAATGACATGTGCAGCAAACGCATTATGTAAGTTGATCATGTCACTTGTAATAATGCTATTGCCATTCCTTAAGCTAATAAGAAGAGCAAACAACTCGCCAGAGGTAATGTTAAGTGCATTCGCAGAGAATAGAAATTGGCAGCTGTGTCTGGTTTGTTTGGTGTGTCCAATAAAGCGGCAAACTGTAAACATACTTAGTGAACGCAACACCGATCGACAGCCGCAACTCTCTCCTTAGATTTTATGTGGAGAAAAAAAAAGAAAAAAGGGTATTTACTTCATAAACATACCAAAGACATGAGGCTGTAGAGCAGGGCAGGGGCAAATATCTTCAGAAAACTGCTTTATTTCTAGTGAGGAATCACGCCTAAAATTAAAAATATACTTGTGACGTGACATTTTAAACAGGACCAAACCAAAATATCATCTTTCTTTAACAAGGCACTTTTTGTTTCTATTTCCAAGCACTTAAACAAAAATGGACAAGATAAACAAACATGTACTATTAAATCTCTCTCATAAGTGCTGTTGAAACTTTTAACACTTTTGAAATCATTGTTAAATATTAATGTTAAGACATTTTCTCACCTCCATCTGTATTTTCACATGTACTCTCATTCATGGTTCCACGTCTTCAGTCAGACGACATGGACCACACTGTCCTTGTACTTTAGATGAGTACGTTCTGGTATTTTCCTTAAATTTGTCTACCAGATCGATATTGTAATGATATATTGTAAATTAAACATTTACATGCAGCACCCGAAATGCTTGAAAAGCGTGAGGTGCGCCGCTTGCACACTGTGGTTGTCCCTGGTGTTACCAAGCAACCACAATCAAGCAGGACTTCACACAAAGATGGTTAGCATACTGTGTATTGTGCTCAGCAGATATCCATCTGCTATTGTCCTCTCTGTTAGATTTAGTATAATATTCACTGGAGAGCTCTGGGTACCCAGTGCGACCTGCTTCTCCTTTATTTTAGAAAAGTAGTCTGATGAGTGACTTCACAGCCAGGATGATGCGAGTTATTTGTTGTCATGTTGCATCCAGAAAATGGGAGATACACCTGTCTCAGTTTGCCATGGTTGAGCCTAAAAAGTGGGCCATTTATTTCTATTCCCTGAATAAGAGCTTTCTAATCAACATGGTTCCGTGGATTCACACCATCAGAGAATCAGGGACATTGCCAAAATGTGCAGTGTTTCCCAGTATACAGTGTATAAGCTAGTGCATTGTCATGAATTGCTATTCACCAGTCCAGACCCATAGGAGAAGACAACAGGTTTAAAAACTGTTTAGTACCGATGCCGTTGGCATCCAATGCCCGGTCAGTTTCCTAATAACTGTATTCTTTTTAATCAGAAATACGCTGATTTGATATTCCTTGACGTAAAGTAGGTTTTGTTCACTGTTGGTACTTAAAACCAGGTATCTTATCGACACTAGTACTGAAAATGACCTATATACCCAAAATACCCATCCCAACATGGGGGTAAGTGAGAGGTTGTCTGGAGTGCCTATATGAGAGTTGACTGGTGCATATAGGCATAACACATTAAGGTAGTTTTATAAATACACTCTTGATTGTTTCAATACACTTGCATACAACCTAAGAATAGAACGGCAACATTAAGAAGTCATTTGTTTAACCAGATCATCAGGTCTAACATCCCATGGTCCATGGCTGAGAATACAAATGAGCACTGAATGGCAAAAACCTGCATGTGTGCATTCCTCTTGTCAGCAGACCAAAAGACCCACAACTTTAATTGTGTTCAGTTATCTTTAGTTTTTTTTCCATATCTGTTCAATCTGACACACATATTACACAGCTCGAGCCAAGCCTATTTTCCTAGAGTTAAAACAAAATGTTGTTAAATTGATTCCATTGATTCCGTTTTCGTTTCCATTGCTGATATGGTACTTCAAAATGTCCAGAGTTGGCAGGTCTGATAGGAACTAAAACAAAAAACACCCCATGAAAAGCAGCAGCAAAGTCTCTGCAATAATCTGTGATCTCAACAGAGGTCACCTGGAGTGCTGAATTTCAGGTAATCGAACGTAATGTTAAGACACCCCCTCCTCTTTCATTGGCCGGCTGTTTGTTTGTTTGTGGTGATGTCCTTGTTTCTGTTCAATCATTCAGGATTTTTTCTCTCTTTTTATCAACAACATGCAAGTACAAATGCTACTATGGTCTTTAAAGCTAGTTGTGATGTGTATTACTTTACTCCACTGTTGCTCAATCTTGTTCAAAGATTATTTTCTTCCTGCGTTGACTGGCAAGCTAATAGCCCTCATTTCTTTCTCTGCTGTGACCTTCGCTCCCTCTCCTCTCTTCCCGCTGTCTTCTGCCCTCTGTGAACCTACAGTACTAACAATTTTTAGACGTCTTGTGGACGCTTGGCTTCAGTGCTGTGTTATTTTTATTGCACTCTTGAAGAAAAAAGTTTGAAAAGTCGCTTTTAATTTTCCTAGAATGCTTACTATTATCTATGTCTGTACGCCATTTTTTCTACTGTTTTAGTTGCTTGTCTTCTATTTTAATCATTAGTCATTTTTATGTGGCGACCTCAAACATTTGCAGCATATGCCAGTCTGAGGAATTTCATTGCTTCATATTGTGATCTGAAATTTTATACATGTCATAATAATACTTGATATGTACCTATTAAATATTTGGATTCCAGAAAACAAAAGTGCTTCTTTTGTTTTTGTCCTGTATTTTGCAAATTTCAAGTGGTCAAGCAGACCATTTTCACTCCCAGTCCCAAATTATTTTCCAGTTATATCAATCACAGCTTTCTGACATCAAACCAACTGATTATATTTTATAGATAAATAATAAAATTACTCTAAAAAGCTCTAAATACATATATTTAAAGATGCATTGATATTTTGCATAAATCGGTAGTTCTGATAACTAGATGTGATAATTTTTCATTGTTAGATATATAAATGGCATTTGTGTTTTTCCTTTATTTTCTGTCTGGATAGGCAGTATTTCTTTGCTATATTGAAAAGAAAGTGAACTTTAAAAATTTAAATGGCTTTAAATGGACACGTAGGCACCACTATCCTCAGTCAATAAGCAGTGAAAATAACCTTTTCACTTTGAAATCAGCTGTTAAATGGACATATGTAGTTCAATGTCCAGTGGAGCCTCCTGGTGGTATGAAGACACAGGACATGCACTGGATGTCTGCCCTGTTGCTCTTTTGTAACTGACCTGGTTTTCTATGTGTGCAGACTGAGCAGCATAGATTGCATTTTGTCAGATACTAGTTACAGCATGGCCATTAAATGTGCTTTATAGTATACTGTGTTAGGTAATAAAGATGCATTTAAATAAAATCTTCATTAAGAAAATCCCCTGATAATGTGTAACTGTCAAAAAAAGAAGCATATACTCATTTATATCCACCACTCTAGGCAAAAGAAAAATTATCTGGCGGAATTCACTGTCTGGATATATTTTAAAACAACGGCAAAAGCATTGCTCTGGGCCTGACAGAGCTCTTGAGATTGTCTTCTAACCCAGTGTGAAGACACTTTAGAGGTTTAGTTTAAACATGTCTGAACAAAAACCACACACAAAGGATTGTTTTTTGTCCGTTTTATTATCACAGAAGCACAACAGGTACCACTATGCAGGTGAACAACAAACTCAATACTATCATGAAAAAAAGTTAAAAGGAATGCTAATCAATCAACAATCCAATCATAACATCACAGCATTTTTTTTCAACCTCCAAAACAAAATACAATATTGTCAGATATACATGGCAGAAGCAAAAGCACTTTGGATTATTTGCTTTCTTTTCGCTTTGTACAAATTCACTCATTGTAGGATCTTAACTTGAAACTGAAGCGCCTACATCAGACACATGCAACAGCATTCATCTTCACTCCACTAGTTTAAATGGTTTCACTATTCAACTATGAAGTACCAATTATTGGGGCTGTCAGTCTTAAGAAACGTTTAAAATCCTATTGCTAAAGAGGATATTAGTTCTAAAAATAAAAAAAACTGTTCCAGCTGAAATGTATTTGTAATTCATTTAAGAGAAATTCAGAGAAAGAATATATGGGGCAAATTTAAATTTTTTAGCTAATCAAAAGAAAGCTGGAGTACCCGAGTGTAAACCTGATGACCTTTTTGTTGTACATTCAAGAAATTAAAAAACAAACCTCCACCTTGTTCTATCATAAAAAGGAAATATCAATAAAAACAGACAAGAAATGGAAATTATACCAGAACTTTTAGCTATCGAACTGCAATATGATTTTAAGTCCAAAACAGAAATATCCCCTCCTCTCTTAGGTGACAACACCACTTAGTCTTCAATGAATACGGTATAATAACATACAAAGATAGCTGGTGGAAACAGGAGGCGCACATCTTACATATTCCCTTGAACACAAAAAGCACGGGAAAATGAATAGTTGCATACAGAGAGCTAACGCCGATGGTTTAACACAGACGGTGGTGTATATGAGTAAGCTGGGACGGGATGGACAAACATACAATGGGAAGAGAAGGGGAAGTAAGCAGGGGTGAAGGGGCTGTCCAGAGGGCTACTCCTCATCCGAGGAGTCCCTGTCAAAATTGTAAGCCATGAAGAAAACGTCGGGTCGAGGCGGGACGAGGGCATGGCCCGGTTTCACAATCTCAAAGCCCAGGAAACTGAACGTTCGCACCAGTTTAGCTGGAAGAACAAGGCAGGGACAACAGATGTTAGATGCAGTATAGGTCAGAACATAGTCACATTATGTTATCCAAGTTGTCTGGATGTTGTAAATGAAAAAAGGTGTGCAGGGGGAAAACAGGGCTGTTAGCACATACCGCGATCTTCTCTGTTCTTATAAAAGCAGACAATCACGCTAACGACTTTCAGATGTTCTTCAGCATACTCCAAAAGCGCTGCAAAACTGCAGGGAGAAAAGAGGGCAGTTTAGGTTAGAAAGTGGAAAGCAACCTCTTAACATGCAGACACAAAAACACAACTGACTGAATCTCATGCATGATCTTTTTTTATTTCAAACGCTCTGCTTTGGCTTCACCTCAGATGTTTCAAAAGTGAGCCAACCTGATTCTCTAAAATAAGCCTAAATACTGAAATGAAGCTTGAAGGTGTACAGGCTACCAACATCTTCCCAACATTTTCCATGCCAACTTTTACATAATATATTTACTTGTTTAATTCTAACTTCATTATCCAACTACATCCCATTGGGGTCTTTCCTGTTGCTAACAATGTGGCCTCACCTCTCCTTGCTGCCTTCAGGGAGAGGGTCAAGAGGTATCTCCACATAGAGTGCGCTGCTGCTCAGGACAGCATCCCACTGTATTGTCTTGGTAACGGTGGGACGACTTTGGAAGTGGAGTATCCTGGGGCGACCATTCCCCGCTGGCTCCTCTGTTACAGTCAACTTTCGGTCCTGGAACCACAGATACTTTCAACACATCTTAAAACAGGCAGTGTGTGACATTAAATGTCCCGGTGGCATGTAAATCGTATGTTTCTCTCTACTGTCCAATTACAATTTAACTAGTGAGGAAATGTGGCCAAACGATTGCGTGCACACATGGGACCCGTTATGCTGCCTGCAGCCCTGGTCAAGCAGAGTGACTGAGCCTATAAATTAAGTGAATTAAATTTCTAGGAAAAGAAATTGAATGATGTGTCGCTGCTGGACTTAAGATGATTAGATTAAGTAATCCCTGGTGTGCCTTCGCCTGCTGTGTAAACTCTTCACAGGGGATCATGTGACAGGAAATGGTTTCAGTGAGGAGCTCATATTCTTGACACTTTTGTTCCTCTTAAGAACAATTCAACAGTGAGACGGCACATGTTTCTACACTTACTGAGTAGAGCGGCCGAGCTGAAGGAGTGTGATCCCGTGTGCCATTCCCTCGCCCACCTGGGATCTTCAGGGGTGGGAGAGGGGCATCAGGAGCACCACAGAGGCCCCGGGCCGCGGGTACTACTACAGTGCAGGGACAAGCTAGCGGGGATGGCAGAGGGGACATAATCACACTACTGTAACAGAAAAATGGTAATCCACAGTCTATCTTGTGTTGCTATATACACACACACGGCAAAAATGCACATTCAGGATTTAAAATGATGATTTTTATATCATCTTTTATTTAACCACAACATCAAAGTCATGAGACTCAACACAGAAAAATAAGGGCTCTGACCAACTTTGACATTGGGTGCCAAGAAGAACTGCAGCAATTTAATTTCATATATAACATCACAACAGGCTCTTATTCCTACAATTAAACTATGGAGGATGTTTGCGTCACACAAGTAAAAAAGATCTTTTGCCAAAGAACAACGAAAAAACATTTAAGGACAAACATTTTAATGTGATAATACTGGTTACTCTAAACTGAAGGTATGCTCCCTAATTTTGTTGTAGCCCCTAAAATGTAGCCTTTACATGCAGCCCACAGTCAACTTAGTTGACAAACTTGCCACTTAAGTTTCGTTTTTGAAGCAGCTAACACTTAAGCCCTTTAATTCTTTGTCTGAGAAGGAGACACCTTCAATTTATGATCTAGCTTTTGTTCCTATCAGGGTTAAATAGTGCCCACCAATGTAACGTACACAATACTGGCTTTTCAATAACAACTATACTCTAGAAACAAAAATGTGACGTGTTTTCTGTTTGGCTTTGTTAGCAATAAAGTGTAAGATTATCCAACACTGATAACCAAAGTAAGACTTTAACAAATGCTGCAGCTACAAACAGTTTGTTTCCCAAAACAACGGCACTGTGTTTACAGAGTTGTTAACAGAAATTTTTAAGAGTGGTGCACAAACGGTGCAAAGAGCAGGTTGCTGTGGGAGTCAACCAACCAAAACTATTTGCTGCTAAAAGCACAAAGCCTAGACACCTATTCTTGAACTCACATTTCGGTGTGGTTAGTGGAAACCGGCAGTGCAAGTTAAGCTGGTATCACAGCCCCTAACATTTACTGAACGTCAACAAACAAAATTTTCTTTGTGCTGCAGTTTACCAAACTATTGTGTACTAGTGCCCGTTATTAAAAATAAAAGTACTGACAAAGCCATGCAAATGGCAGATTTTCATCCAAAACAATACATAAGGGTACGTATTAGTGTTGCAACTAACTTTCATTATTGATCCATTTGGCGGTTATTTCCTCAATAAATTGACTTATTTGTAATTAAAAGAAAATTTTGAAAAATGGCCATTAAATATTCCTAAAGCCCATAGTAGGGTGATATCATCAAATTACTTATTTCCAAACCTGAAACCTTAAACTAGGGAATGTTTGATATTTTGCTTAAACAATTAACTGATTATTATTACAGCTGCACTTTACAATTATTGGCATTATTTATCCAATTTTTTCAATCATCATTTTATCTATAAAATAGATGAAACTAGAGAAAAATGTCCATTACATTTTCCAACAGTCCAAAACCCAACGTATATATAGTCCGTTATCTATCACATATGACAAAGAACAGCATCAAATATTTGAGTTTCAGCAGAACCAGTGAATGTTTGGCATTTTGTTAGAAAGAGGAACCTGATAAATCGATTATCAATTTTGTTGGAAACAAACCAATCGAATCGACTTTTGCTGTGACTGAACACCCAAGTCCATACACTTTCTTTGCACTGTGTTGTGCGAGAAGACTATTTAGGAATATTCCACTGACCGGTAAAACTACACCACAACAAAACAATGATGTGTCCCTCCGGTGATAGAGACTTAACATGTACCACTGCATCACCGTGTACAGTAACGTCCTGCCGTCACGAGGCTGCTGCAGTAAACTGTCTGTTGCGTAATAACTTAAATCTACCTGACTCGGCTCACTAGGTCAACGTGGCCAGAAATATGTACCCATCTGACAGATTTTTAACCTGGTTTTTTCTTTCTTTCCTGGAGCAACCAAGTAACAACGTGAGCTAAGGATAAGTTACCTCTTTATGGGCTGTCTTATTTTTTCGACGAATCACTTTTAAGAGGCAATTTTCGGCAACAAAGTTACCAGTATCAAATATTTGACGTTACGTTCATCCCGAGTTGTAAATAAACTGACAGTCCTTTTTTAATATACGGAAGTCTGTTTGGTCCTTTAAAAGGCTAACGTGAGACCATCTGAAACAATCATATTTAAATCCCCTGATTGTTGTCAGTTTACGTTCTCTAAGTCAATATATTACGCGACAAATTAAACTAACGTTATATATGTGTCATCATCCCTCCCCAATAAAACAATGAACGTTAACTACGATGAAATGTTGACGCTAGCTGGCGCAGTTAACTAGTGACGCAACACAAGTTGGACGGTGTTCGCAGCTAACGCGAGCTAATGCTAAAGTTGTCTCTCGGGTCAGCAAGTGAATCTCCGTTAATTTAAACATGACATGTCTTAGGATAACGTTATACTTAGGGCTACCAGACAACGCAACACTCGGGCACTGGTGACATAGCGTAATACAAATAAAGTTTAAAGTTAAATGCGTTTTACTTCCGCTTTTCGGTGGCTGCTAGCTATGTTATCTTAGCCACCCCTCCCCCACAGCACGATTAGCCGTAAGCTAGGTTGTGAGTTCCATCGTTTACTTACTTCCCAATCATGTCACAGATACCATTACTCAAGTCCGCCATGGTAGTAAGATACTGCTGTTTTCCCTCTTTCTCGCGAGCAAAGCAATGACTGTTTAGGATCCGCTGGAGGTTGGATTTTACCATCCGGCCTCGGGTAGAGACACGACGGGCTGACTGCTCTCGGCTCGGCTCGGCTGGGTAGTGATCGATCAGTGTCGGGAGCTGGTAGAAAAGACACAAGTCAAGTCACCCGGAATGAAGAATGATATTTCCGTTTTATCTTTGGCTTTAAAATAAAAGTCGGATGGAAATGTTTGGTTGCGGTCACATTAAAAGTGTCCATTTCAGCATATAGGCCTAGTGTTAACCACCATTCTTCTAACTGTACTTCATTGTCTTCATCAGCGGCTTAAGATTGATCTGCGGAGGAAGACAAAGTGAAGGGTTTCCAAGGTCAAAAATGAGACTGTGACCAAAAGTATTCAGTGTGTTTTTTTACTTGTTCCTCTATGTATTGTCTGCACTGTTAATGTTAATTAGATTTCATTAGATTATCATCATTAGATTTGCAATCTCCTCTTTTGCCCCTTTAAAATAAAAATATTTTATTTTGAAAGAGGAAGCCATTGTTACAGTCTAAAATTAGCTTATATCTAGCTTCACACTCCTGCTAACACGCTAAAGCTAACCAGAAACGCTAAACGCTAAAGATGCTAAAACAGAACACGACACCGTATCTTCACCTAAACATTTGACCGGCACTGACTTATGACCACAGCTAAAATAGCAATAAAACAGCGACTGATATAGCTCAAGCGCCGTCGCAAAAATATGGTTATTATATATATATATATTACAATTCATTTAAATGTCAAAATTAACTACGTGTCCTTCTCGATGCCGTTATGCTAGCAGCTACGTGTTTACATGAGGGCGTCTAATGGAAAAGTACCAAGGAGGACAGAGAAAAACTTACAACAAAGACCCTAAAGTCTAAAGATTTCCATGTGATTATTGAACTCCCATTGTCGCCAGATTCCATCTCATTCTAACACTTAAAAAAAGCAGTAAAATAGTGATTTGTTCATTAGTGTAGCCTATATTATATATATGCCTAAATGCTTGTGTACTGTGGTGAAAAGTAGGTAAATTAAGTAGCCTGTACAATTACAGTACAATTTGATGATTTCCATTTTTATATTACTTACTCTCCATTACAATTAAAAGAAAAATATTCTGCTTACTCCACTACATTTATTTGACAGCTAAATAGTAAGGTTTTATATACAAAACATATTCGTTTAAAATATGCATTATTTAACTGCATCATTATATAAAGAATTCCAACTAAATATCCAACTTAGCGTCACCTTGACCAACTACAACTTAACTACTGCTTACATGTTATTGCATCGATAAGTTATTTAATATAACACGTGCTATTTTGCAGAACGAGTCAATGACGTTAATAACTTTCGTGTTTTGTTGCTAATACCAATGTACTTTTACTTAAGTAAGATTTAAATGCAGAACATTTACTTGTAATGAAGTATTTGTAGTGTAGTATTGCTACTTGTAATAAAGTAATTCACCCGAATACTTCTTCCTCCATGTGTCTCGAGGTCTCAGTGGAGGTAAGTGCCTTTTAAACTGTAGACAAAATGCTTGTCATTTTATTTTTCATACTATTGTATTGTGTCTACTTAAATAACTTGACTTTTTAGTGAGATGTAACATCTGAAAATTTATGAAATTATTTTGATTTAGATAGACTTTCTGGTTTGGCTCATTGCCTGTACAAAGTAAATAAAAATTAAAGTGATTCTGGTCTTCCCTGGGTAACATGAGCTTCTGATCATGCTGTATGCAATAGTAATTTAAACGAGGAGAACATAAAGCAAGTTTTTAAAAGGGAACGCCGATAGGAGAAAGTCCTGAATGTTGTACGCATTGCAAGTCGTCTGGTATTCCCATCTAGTCCACACGATGACGACAAAGCAGCAGTATTAACTGCATACCCTATTACCTTTACTCCACTACATTTCAGAGATGAGTATTTTATTTGACAGTTACGGTTACTACTTACAGAAAGATATTTTACACACGAAACATAAGCCTATCTTACAAAATGTTACACGTTGTTGCATATTAATCTATTCAACACTAGATTAACAACTTAAAAGTGAGAAACTATTTAAATTAAAATGTTGCTTATGTGGTAATCCTTAGGTGATAATAATGCAAAATTATATAATACACTTTTAAAAGGGCCATTCTGTCTGCATTAACGCTTCTTGATGCTAAAACGTCGACCTATGCTATACAAATAATTTGGCCTTTTTATATTTCCAATGCATTTAGGTGATAATAGTTACAGGTCTACTTGAGTATAATTGTGAATGCAGGGCATGCTCTTCAGATTGAGAGTATCACTATGAAATTGCTACATTTACTCAAAGAAAAAATCTGAATGTAGGATTTATTGCAGGCGTTTCTGCTGGATGGTGTGACATGTATAGGAGGATCGTGGATTTGTCACATGTTATATGAATAGTTTGACCTTTTTGGAAACACGTATTTCTTGCTAAGAGTTAGATGAGAAGATAATTACCACTCTCATTTGTATGCTAAGATAACCAGCCGTCTGCTGTCATTAATTTCTCACTAATTGGATTTTATGGGAGTGACAATAGCAGCATGGTAAATCCCCTCGCCTCCTCCGGTTTTTCATTTTTGAAGCGTCTCGGCCGCCCGCCCTCTCATTGAAGATTGTCCTTCGGCTCTATCCGTCGGTCGATTTGGAAAGCAGCGACGCCTGAAAGCGACGCTCGCAGCTGATGTACCGCTGGCACAGAAAATGGAGAGCGACACCGCTGTCAGGAGAATTAAACACTTTGGGACACATAATTATGTAGCGGTTAACGACGGTTCCCGCGGCCGGTGCGGGAATAACAGCTACAACGGTGACCCGAAGAGGAAGCCCGAAGTGAAGCTGTACTTGCTGCGAGAAGGACTGGCAGCCTCCCTGGTCTCTGTGTTTATTTTGGTGCTGTGGGGACTTGTTCATTTCTCACTACAGCAGCTCATCATTGGGACACCGTCCGGCGAGTTCAACGCAATGAGAGCCAGGTGAGTTTTGTGCCTTGCTTACTATAATCACATCTATTGTCTTTAAATGTTACCTAACGGTAGCGAAGCAGCGGAGTTCCAACCTTTCCTCTAGATTGGAAACAGCCCCGCCTAGAAACCACTACCTGGTGTCCCTCCCCTCCACCTCCACCTTGACCTCTATAGACAGGTGTTCGAAAACAGTTAGAAATGTTTGAGATGCAGCAGCAGAGGACCGATTTGTAAGTGATGTAGCCTTCAAGAAATCAAAATCTCCTGCACAAAGCCTATTCAAATTACCCAGAGATACAAAAACCATATACTATATATAACATATACATTATTCCATATAGGCGTACTTCATACAACAAAAGTAGACGTTTTGGCAGCTAAGGTAAAAAAGGTTACTATAAAAGTGTTTATTTTGAATATATGTATAACAAACATCTGAGCAATCAAAGTGATTAAATAATAAATTAATAATTACAGCCAACTACATTTTTGAAAATGTTATCAATTACTTTACATATTCGAAAATATGTAAGTTTATTTGTATAACACATTTCATACCAAAGAGCCTTACATGATGCATTAAAACATTACATGCAGGAAACACTGCATACAATTTTGAAACGCAAATTAAAAGGATCAAGATTATAGTAGTTCTTTTAAAAGGAAAGTAACAAAAGTGGACAAGATAAAAGTTTGAGCATTAAAAGCATTGTAAAGGCTGACTGAAATTGTAAACATCAAGGTTGCATCTATAGGCAGTTGTTTAATATTAAAGTATATAAAAAATCCAAATATTTGTGAACTTTTTCTCTGTTTTATGTCTAATATATCTAAATATCATTGGGTTGTGAGCCCTTAAGTGGGCGGAAAAAAAAACATGGAAACTTTCACTAGTTGCAACCTTATCCGATTATTGACAGCTATAAGGATTAGTGACATCTCAGACAAAATAAGCAGTTTCACAATCAATAAGCGGCTTTGCTTTGGTGATTAAGCACTTACCATTTATGATATTTTATAAAACACAAATATTAACACAAAAACAATCAAACAGATATCAGACAGATAAATTAATTATCAAAGGCAGCCTGCGTGACTATAGAAACCATCATACACCCTGTTCATTCCAAGCAGCTGCATAATGTTCGGATACAACAAGCTTCATAGTGCAACATCTTTTATCAGATTTTCCATCGCAGTCAGAAGGAGAGGCTGGGATTATGACTCTGAGTCTGAGGTCCGCAGGGCTCCAGGTGAGCTCTTGAAAGTGCTGGTTGATGGGATTTGCCATCATTCGGCTGGTTGCTCTATAAATGAGTCAGGCGTGCTGCATTTAAACTGATTAGGGCTCTGAGCTTCTCCAGTCACAATCATGGCTTTCATGACTCAGTGGCCTGCCAATCCAGATTTTAATTATGAGCCCGAGCATGAAACGGTGCCTCAGAGGGCTGCTGTGAACTTGGAATGAAAGCAGCAGTTCAGACATCTTTAATGTCCTTTGGTACGACTTTGTCATTACAAGAAAACTATGTAGTGGAGGACACGATGATTTTGGGGTATAGAGCAAAAGGAAATTTAAAAACGCACATTTGCTTCTAAAAGCTGGACTTCACCCACAATGGTTAGATGACAGATATTATTTTGTCACCAGTTTACTTGCTGCTGCTGTGAGCATCAGCTGGCACAGCAGAACTTCTGCTGGTGTGGGGCAGTGGAGCTAATTGTTGGCCTTTCTTCAACAGCTGCAGCAAACACCTGCAGCAGCTGCTTTTTTAAAAGAAAAGACGAGTAAAAGCATCTGTTTGGTTTTTTTCAGTGCCGTATGGGTTGCTTGGCTTAATATCTTGCTTCCATCTCCTGAGGGAATCTAGCAAAATAATGTCAAAGCAATACAGAAACATGGCATACCATAACATGACTGAGCTTGCTCCACTCTCTCTTTAAAACCTTGAACATTTGATGTTGTTTGTAGGGTAATTATTTTCATTACTTTGTCATAGTTTAGCTAATTGTATAATCAAGCAGTAACGTAATTGTAGTATTTTACTGTCTACTGTCCTGGATGGTGCGTGTGTGTGTGTGTGTGTGTGTGTGTGTGTGTGTGTGTGTGTGTGTGTGTGTGTCTGCAACCATGTCAGCAAGCACACCCACCTCTTCAGGAAACACATCTAGTTTTTTGTTTGGAAACTTCAAGGTGGTTTTAAAAACAAAGCTGTGGACTGTGACCTCACAGACAAACAGAGGCTTTCAAAATTATTCAAGCCCCTTGAATAGACTCTCCTTTGCAATTAACTATTTTATGTGACATTAGTTTAATATTAGAAAATAAATATAAATAAATAAATAAATAATAACTGAAATCTTCAGTTTGCATAAGTATTCTTCAAGGTCCAGGTTTACACAGATGACACAATTGGCCGCTACTTGCGAAACATTAAAATAACCTCATAAATTTAGGTATCATTGGTCAGACTGTCAATCTGAAGAAACTGTGTGAAAATGAGGACCAAAGAGCGTTCAAAGGAAGTTAGCATAACTTAATAGACATGCACAAATTAGCAAAAGCGAAGTGCGTTGATATCCCAGTGAGGACTGTAGGAGTAAAGGTGCACCAGTATCAAGAGCCTGGTGTTAAACCAGCCTGTATGGGAGGGTGGCTAGAAAGAAGCTCAAGAGAAGCCATATTAAAGCACATCTGGAGTTCACCAGAAAGCACGAGAATGACCCACCTAAGATATGTGGCAGCGTTTTGTGGTCAGATGAGACCAAAATAGAGCTTTTTGGTCAAAATTCAAAGCGCTATATGTGGGGCAAACTTTAACACTGCCCATGCCTCAACAAACACCATCCTCACATTGACGTATGATGGTGGAAACATCATGCTGTGGAAATGCGTTTCTTCAGCCAAGAGTGGGCATCTTGTTAGAAATGAGGGATGAATGGATGGAGCAAAATACAGATGGCTACTGCTAGAGAACCAGTCTGCTGAAAAAGTTTGGGGGAAAGTTCACCTGTCAGCAGGACAGTGACCCCAAGCAACACAGGATTGTTCAATTAACAACAAGGTAAATGTTCTACAAAGTCAAAATCTCAATCTGACCGAAAATCCGTGGCAATGTTTGAAAATTGCGGTCCACAAATGTCACCTAGCCAACCTGAAAATCTGGAGCAAATCTGCCAGGGAGTATGGGGTGGAAATTTCACAAACAAAGTTGGTATTTACTTACTGCAAGAGACTTAATGCGGTTACTGGCTCTACCAGGTACTAATGTGTAGGGGTTGTTCTAGTTTTACGGTTGTAAGTTTTATTTAAAAGGTCTGCTGACAAACAATTAATTAAAACATTAGAGAATTTGTCTTTGCAATAAAAATACTGATTAGAGAAATATGTGTAGATATTATAAGTAGGTTGAATACTTTTGCAAGCCACTTCACATAAAATGATTCAACACTGAACTGCAGGAAATTAATAAGATATGCTGTAATGTTGTGATAGAACAAGCAGGCCTGGTTTACTGCCCCTTAACAGCACCACAATGTTCTTTTTCTCTCTTCACTCTTCCCTCACGTCTACAATCTAGACAGGATGGCACAGAGCAGGTAAAATAATGAAGAGTCATAAGGATAATTGCAAAAGAGATCATTTCTTTATTTTATAACCCAGGCATGAATCATATTAATAACAGGCTACAGTCTGTTCTCCAAATATAAGTAAGCATATTATAGACATGTCAAACACATATTTCAGCTGCAACAATGGGCTACTAGCCTATTAGAAATGTAATTACATGTTATGATAGAACAAGCAGGCCTGGTTTACTGCCCCTTCACAGCACCACAATATTCTCTTTCTCTCTCTTCACAATCTAGACAGCACTTGGAGCAGATCACCAGCGTCGGCCCACGGCCAGTGGGCAGCCCGGAGAACGAAGTCCTGACAGTGGAGTACTTGTTGGCAGAAATTGAGAAAATCCAGGTTGAGACGGCAGCGGGCCCCCATCAGCTCATGGTAGATGTGCAGCGTCCCACCGGCTCTTTTTCCATTGACTTTCTAGGAGGCTTCACAAGCTTCTACGACCGTGTCACTAACATAGCTGTCAGGCTGGAGCCTAAGGGTGGGGCACAGCATCTCATGCTAGCCAACTGCCACTTTGACACAGTGGCCAACAGTCCAGGTACGAAAACATTCCTCCTTCTCTTGAAGAATTCTGCCTACTAAATGTGAGCTCTTACTGAAGTGTTTGAGCTTTAGATGAACAGGTGTAGCTCACAGGTTGCATGTAGGTACATGCAGAAAACATTCGCACACCTGTGTGTCAAACTTGAATTACCAGAAAGGAAAGAATTTTAAAATCTCAATCTTTAAATAAATCAAGTGAAACAAATATACATTTGAACAATAACTGCTTTGGTGATTCCTGAAAATTGCTGTAGCGTTACCATGAATTTGTCATTTGTTGTGAAATTTGGTTCAGGCATTCATAGTCCCAGAGGATGAATTGTAAACTTTATTCCCCTCACTTTAGATCTTGCACCATGATCAGGTCAAATTCTCACTTTCTCCAGTACTTTACTTTATGACCAAATACCTGCAAACTAATGACATTTACGTTTTTTCAGTCTACTTGCTCTTCTTACATATTAACATTATAACATTTATTGTACTGCTGAAGTGTCCCCTTTTTTGGAACTATTATTATTATTATCACAATATTAAAAATATTTATTTATCTATTTAAAATCATATTGTAAATTATACAGATATGATATGGCACACCCATAATGGTAACACGCTTAACTAAGCTGGTGAATATGGTAAACATTATTCCTGCTAAATATCAACATGCAAGCATTGTCAATGTTAGCATTGTTAGCATGCTTTCTAACATGCTTTGCTTTGTGCCATGTTGTGCACTGACAACACTGTGTGAAATTTGGACAGCTATAGCAAGCCAGTTCTGAATATGTGGAAGCTCAATACTGAGCTTCTAACAGGAAGCTGCTTGCTTAGAGAAATCATGGGATCATATTTAGACTGCACAGTAGTAACAGTGTTTGTTGTGAAGATAGTAAGATAGTAAGTCGTTGTAATTTCTGTCTTTTTTTTAAATCAGGATTTTTCACTTTTTCACTCCACACCCATGAGCCTGTTGGAGAGGCATGTTTTCACACACACACACACAGACATGTGCACACACAGGTTCAATGGCAAAAGGAAATTGATCCAAGAGGTGTGGACCAGGAAGATACACAAGCCATTTCATGTCCTGCCAAGCCTTTGACTTCTTTGAATTATAACACACAATAAAAAAGTAGGCAGTGCATTGCCTTGCACATGTTTTTTCCACATAGGTTTATTGTATGTAAAGGCAAGCACGGTCAGCACAGCAAACTGATCATTTAAGTCAAAGCACTTATAATTTCTTTTTACCATTCTGTTGTACCATTTTAAAGCGATAACGTGCCCAGGTGAACTAGTCAGGCTTGGCTCGTTTTTTTCCATTCTCTGAACTCTCACAGTCACAGAACATTTTGGGCGCGCAGATGTGTAGCTGACAAAAGCGGTGCAACAGTATGAATGGTACCCAGACAGTGAACAGATCCCATCCCCCACCTCATGAGCACATTCAATCTGGAAAGCTGGGCACATGATGTCTCAGTTTGGCTCTTTGATCTTTTTTTTTTTTTCATAATCTTCGCATTTCTTTTCAGAAAAATTGTGTTCCTCACCACTAACTTGTCTGATCTTTCCGTGTCACATGACCTGTTCACATGTTCTTTTCACTATAACCCTTTTTCTTTTTGTGCTCTCACCATTGTACAAGCAGTGGGAGCTGGGACATTACCAGCTTGTTGCATTCTTCAAATTTTTGCCCACAGAGCACTTACTTCCTTCAGTGTGTTTGTGAATTTGCGTTATTCTGATGAGTTAAGTATCCTGCATGTGTCCTTATCTGAAACTGAGCCACTGTGTCAGGACAATTGGGTGATCTTGGTGAACAATTGCATGACTGTGTAATAGCCAGGCCTGTGATCCGTGATACGAATTTGAAAGGCAAGTAGAGCTCACATTACCCAAACTGTGCAGGTTTTTAGTTTTTTTTTAACAAACATACACTTGTTTCTTTGTCTTAGGTGCCAGTGATGATGCAGTGAGCTGTGCAGTAATGCTGGAAGTCCTCCATTCTCTGGCCAACCAGTCTGATTCTCTTAATCATGGAGTTATTTTCCTCTTTAATGGAGCAGAGGAAAATGTTCTGCAGGTAAAATGAAGTTACATTTTGGATGTTAGAACTAGCCTGTCACCACTTTGGATTGTCATTTCATTTAAAACATCTCCTCATTTTCAGTTTTTTCTATTTTCTCTGTTATATTCTTACTTTCACTAACTTGGCCTTCCTTTTATTACTTCTTCTCTCCACCAGGCCAGTCATGGTTTCATTACTCAGCATCCGTGGGCCAAGCAGGTGCGAGCCTTCATTAACTTGGAGGCTGCAGGTGTTGGGGGCAAGGAAGTTGTTTTCCAGACAGGTATATCATTTCTATTGGACCACTTTGTCTGGTTTGTTTGTTAGCGTGTTATTATTCAGGTTTTCTCCGTGTGATTGTTTTGCATATGTTGGTGTGTGCAGCCCACCATCAGTATTTCTTTCTCCTGTAATTGGGAAAGCTTGCAAATAAATGCAGTGAAATGTTTGCTGTTACAGAGGTGTAGCGTGTAGGTCTAGTTTTGAATTATATACCTACAGCATATGTCTTTGTTCCAGCCATTTACCTTCTGAAAGAACGAACTGTCCATATATAAAATATCCTAGAAAACTTATTGTTCCCTAAAAGGTCCAGAGAACCCGTGGCTGGTCCAGGCCTACGTTAATGCAGCCAAACACCCCTTTGCCTCTGTGGTCGGCCAGGAGGTCTTCCAAAGTGGTATCATCCCCTCGGACACTGACTTCCGCATCTACAGGGACTTTGGTAACATCCCAGGTAATGCTGAACAATCTTCAGAGTACAGTATAGAAATGAGTCATGTTTTATTTTGTGTTGTTTTCTCCCTTACTTTTCTATGTTTTTATGTTTTTATCTAATTCTGTTTGTTTATTTTTTTACAGGCATTGATTTGGCTTTCATTGAAAATGGTTTCATCTACCATACCAAGTACGACACTGCAGACAGGATCCCGACAGACTCAATACAGAGAGCCGGTACGCAAAAAGCCTCACGTGCATCTTCTTATACCTACTAAACTTAAATAGGTGTTATCCTATGCTTTTATTCAACACTCAATGCAAATAGATTCAGTGCATGTTAGCTAGTGGGTGTCTATCTGTCAGTCACACCAGGGCCACACTGCCTACCTCTGCCTTTGTGTGACATTAAATAAGACCGAAATGAAAAGCATGCGGTTCTGCTATGCACATGCTGCTCATGCAGGTTGTGTGGCCAGTGAACTTGGTGTGATTGCACACCACAAAGTGTGTGCAATCACATTTTTATCATCGTAAAAATATATATGTTCCAGAGGCCCAAGGAAGTCAGGTCGACAGTCAGCGAATTCCTTTAAGTTCCTTCTTATTACATACTTTTTATCGGAGAGCCTTTCCTAATTTAACTTGACTTGTAATTGTCTTTTAACTGTATTTTAATTCCTTTAAAAAAATTGTTTTTATCTGTTTGCTTTCAAAACCTGATGGCCAGAGAGCGGTCAGTGTGTGACACAAACGCGTGCTTCCATCTGTAGTTTATCCCCCAATTTCAGACAGGTCAGTACTCTGCTGATCTTATTATTTGCCTGATAACTAAAAAATGCATATATACATAGCAGCCACAGACTTTTACTGTTGCACTCGCCCTCATTTACTTTTTCATGTGTGTCACTGAATTACTTTGCTTTACTTAGCAGAGAATCCAGTCAGTCAGCACTAAAAACCCGAGACAGTTGGCATCTTTCCGCTCTCGCTCAGCAGCTACTGAAGATCTCCCTCCTCTTCTTCTGTGTACACTAACTCACAGTGAAAGGCATGAATTATTAGAGACAGAAAGTCAGGTTTCAGAGGGCGACAGAAGGTATTTTTAGTCAGGAGGCAGTTTTGTACGGTGGAGAGTAGAGATACAGCACAGGGGCAGTTGAGGAGGAAGGTACACCAGTAGCTCTGCTCTGCACAGCAGGTTTTTGGTATAACCCGCCTTGTAAATTATTTTTATTATGGCCCAGCATATTCCGAGAACAGTTTTTCATGCTTATTCATATCATCTTATTTGCTCATCAGTAAACATTAGTTAAAGAGAAGAACATCATTCACCGATGCTACACACCTCTTTGAAATCTCTTCACAGATGTGCTTCTAGACAAAGTGGGGGAAAGGTGCAAGGCTGGCATTGCTCTAATGTAGATTGGATTTTTGCTTGGATCTGTTTGTGAAGATGATACTATGTAGATTATATATAAACAAGAGTATGGCAATATACACTGCTCAAAAAAATAAAGGGAACACTTAACACAATGTAACTCCAAGTCAGTCACACTCCTGTGAAATCAAACTGTCCACTTAGGAAGCAACACTGATTGACAAACTATTTCACATGCTGTTGTGCAAATGGAATAGACAACAGGTGGAAATTATAGGCAATTAGCAAGACACCCCCAATAAAGGAGTGGTTCTGCAGGTGGTGACCACAGACCACTTCTCAGTTCCTATGCTTCCTGGCTGATGTTTTGGTCACTTTTGAATGCTTTCACTCTAGTGGTCCCCAGACCTGAATCCAATTGAGCACATCTGGGACATCATGTCTCGCTCCATTCACCAATGCCACGTTGCACCACAGACTGTCCAGGAGTTGGCGGATGCTTTAGTCCAGGTCTGGGAGGAGATCCCTCAGGAGACCATCCGCCACCTCATCAGGAGCATGCCCAGGCATTGTAGGGAGGTCATACAGGCACGTGGAGGCCACACACACTACTGAGCCTCATTTTGACTTGTTTTAAGGACATTACATCAAAGTTGGATCGGCCTGTAGTGTGGTTTTCCACTTTGATTCTGAGTGTGACTCCAAATCCAGACCTCCATGGGTTGATAAATTTGATTTCCATTGATAATTTTTGTCTGATTTTGTTGTCAGCACATTCAACTATGTAAAGAAAGGAGTATTTAATGAGATTATTTCATTCATTCAGATCTAGGATGTGTTATTTTAGTGTTCCCTTTATTTTTTTGAGCAGTGTATTTTTAATTATTCTTACCAATTTTTTTGTGTCATAGTGAAACTCAGAAAGGAAGGATGTGGGTAAATCACTAAGCAGAATCATGTGGTTAAGCAGTGAGCACAACATCAACAAGCAGATGCTGTACACTCCCAGTAGCAAGCCTACCAGGCGGAAGAACAATGGCGCTTTGTCTCGTGTGTGTGTGTGTGTGTGTGTGTGCGAGCTGTAAATGGTGAAGACAAACAGGCAGCAGCACAGACTAAAGAAAGTTTAGTCTCAGATAGCAGTAATCCACTCAGCGTCCTCTAACCGATTCTTCACGTAGCCAGATTCCTCATCTGCATTCAACATCATGATTGTAGCCAATTTCATGGAAAGTCCTTTACGTGTCCTGTATACTGGTGTGTTGTGTATCTACCAGAGGTCGTTTAGGTCATAAATCAGACTTGCTCTCACACACATACACCACCATACTCTTTCACACACACTAGCGCTTGGGGCATAAATCATATTTACTCACATACACCACATCCCTATCAAACAGCATTATACACTCTTAATGTATTTAAGACAGCATAGTGGTGTATAAGAGAAAAATAACTCTTCAGTATTAGGATATAGTTGTGTGTTTGAGAGAACAGCAGCATATGTAGTATGATGTAAGATAGTGGAGTAGTGTGTGTGTGGGAGAGTATGGAGTTGTGTGCAAGTTCCATGATGCTGTTTTTTTTCCTTTTAGAAACTGTCTTCTATATATCTTTCATAACTTGTATTTCTTATTTTTTTAACCTTTTTACCATTTTTTTTTACCAGGAAGTCCCTTTGAGATTGAAATCTCTTTTCCTAGGGAGACAAAAACAAATTAGATTTACAAAACAGATGTCCTTGTTATTGGGTCCCAACATGGCAAAACATATTCTGCCATCTGCTGGTTCCCTAGGCAAGGAATCTGGGCAGTGGTTTGACTGCAATTTAAGTTCTATCTCATTCTTACTGACCGCCAGACAGCGGTGCTTTAGCACTGGATGTGTCCATCTCGCATTTGAACAGGTTGAGTAATTATACCAACAAAGTCACCTGTGACCATGCAATGACATAGTGTACACCCAGTATAAAACCCTCACGTCATCACGCAGTCTGTTCCTTCAATCTTCATGCCAGGCAGCGGTTTGCTGGCCTGAGGCGGGGCCCAAGTTTAGTTCTGCGACAGAGAGTTCTTGTGCCCTCTAGTCCCAATTACACTCATCCGCCTGCTCACCCAGGTGGATACCCTAGAGCGTCTCGCTACTCTGGGCACTATGATCAGCGCCGGCGTACTCCTGTCCAGCCAGCCTTTCAGGTACCAAGAGGACCGGCCCCAAGTGGCCGCCCCCCAGGGGTCCTAGGGGCCGGGGAGGTCAGACCTGAGAACCACGGGGCCGTCATCGGACGCTCTCTCTGCAGCACCTTAGCTACTGGGAGAGGCAGACCACAGACCCGTGGGTGGTGTCCACACTGTCCAAGGGATGCACACTACAGTTCCGATGGCGGCCGCCACCTTTCTGCGGGATCAGAAGGTCTGTGGTCAGAGCTCTTGCAAAATCCCTGGCCCTCAGCCAGGAACATGCAGCCCTTCTAGAGAAGGACCCCATCGAGCCTGTAGAAGGGCATACACGGCTCGGTGGGTTCTATTCAGTGTATTTTTTTAATTCCAAAGAAGGATGGCGGGTTTCGCCCAATTCTGGACCTGAGGGGCCTGAACAAGTTTTTAAAGGTGCATCCATACCGAATGTTACAGATGGCAGATGTCATCCAGTCAGTGACGTTGGACGTTGGGTGACGCTGGTTTGTGTCAATAGACCTCAAGGATGCCTATTTTTACAAGCCTATTGCACCACGCCACAGGCAGTTCCTTAGGTTCGCCTTTCGAGGACAGGCTTACCAATTCAAGTTGATGCCGTTCGGTCTCTCACTGGCCCCTTGTGTATTCACGAGGTGCATGGCAGCCGCCCTTTCCCCGATGCAAGCCGCAGGTTTGCCTTACCTGGACGACTGGCTAATAATTTCCCCGACTGCAGAGCAGGCAGTCAGGGACGCAGATATGCTCCTTGGCCATGTGAACCAGCTGGGCCTTATGGTGTACTACACAAAGAGCAAACTTGCACCTAATCAGAGGGTAAATTACCTGGATATGGCACTCGACTCTCAGTTAATGAGAGCCTTCCTTACCCTAAAGAGAGTGTGGTATATCCGGCAGCTTCTAGGTTTCTTTCACAGGGGCGGGATTTTGAAATGGGGCTTTTTTCTCAGACTGCTGGGTATTCTGACAGTGTCCTGCCTTTTTTGCTGGGCCTTGGAGCCCTGGCGGAGAAAAATGTATCTTGCCGGGGGGTTGCTCTGGGAGTGATACCCTCCCACAGGGAGGTTGTGGAGACAGACGGCTCTTTATCAGGCTAGGGTGCGGTGTGGCAACGCAGAACCATCGGGAGCCGATGGAGCAGCCAGCAGAAGTTAAAGCACATAAATGTGCTTGAGCTCAGAGCATATGGCATCTGAATTCAGACCACCTTCAGCTGTGTGTCTGGCCGTTGGAAGCCAGGACCCACTCCTGGCATCTTGTGACCAGTCAGTGATCCGCACTGTGTTAAGTTCGACGGCTCCCTCCACTCAGTTACTGTAGGCTTATCGGTGGAAGCTTTTTTCCCAGTGGTGCAGGGAAAAGGGTGAGGTACCGGAGAACTGCCCAGTCACCAGCATTCTGTGTTTCCTGCAGCCGTTGTTGGACGGCGGCAGGTGCGCCGCGACAGTGTACGCAGCTGCCATTTCAGCGGGGCATGTGAGAGTGGACAACTGCACAGTGGGGTCACACTATCTGGTTAGTCAATTCTTGAAGGGCACGCAGAGGCTTAGACCATCAGGTGTCACTGTAGTGTCACCATGGGACTTGAAGGTGGTTTTGAGATCCTTGGGTCTGCCTCCATTTGAACCGCTAGGACAGATAGAGTTGAGTCTGCTGAGACAGCATTTCTGCTTGCTGTCACATAAGCAAAGCGAGAGGGAGAACTGCATGCCCTATCAGTGAGCCCGAGGTGCCTGCGTTGGTACCCAGATGGGTCAGGAGTTACTCTCCTACTGAATTCGTACTTCCTGCCAAAGCTGGGACCTTCATCGCATGTAAACCAAGCCATCGAGTTGGCTGCATTCAGTCTACCGGGCTCATCTGAAGACGCGGAAGAGCTGTCACAGCTACTGTATCCAGTTCGGGCCACTGCCAAGGTACGCAAGTCTGACAACCTTTTCGTTTGCTATGGGGGTTGTAGAAAGAGTGAAGCTCTATCAAATCAAGTGTCAATCTACTCAGAGTGTGTCCACATCCTGGGCGGCCCTGAGAGGGGTCTCTCTGCATGACGTGTACTGCCGCAAGCTGGGAGTCTTCATGTACCTGCGCTCGCTATTACTGAGTAAATGTGGCTGCTCACCATGCAGTAGCACGGTGAGCATTCCTCGTGACCTTGCTGGTATAAGTCATCCAGTGCTAAAGCACCGCCGTCTGGCGGTCATGAAGAATGACCACAGGTGACTTTGTTGGTGTAATTACTTGACCTGCACAAATGCAAGATCCATCTTCATCCATCTTCATCTTCATGCAAGATGCAAGAAGTTGGAGACATCCAGTGCTAAAGCACTGCCGTCTGGCGGTCATCCAGAATTCATAGAAACGTAGTAACATTTGTAACTCTCGTTTGGAGCAGCACACCACAAAGTGTGTGCAATCACATTTTTATCATCGTAAAAATATATATGTTCCAGAGGCCCAAGGAAGTCAAGTCAACAGTCAGCGAATTCCTTTAAGTTCCTTCTTATTACATACTTTTTATCGGAGAGCCTTTCCTAATTTAACTTGACTTGTAATTGTCTTTTAACTGTATTTTAATTCCTTTAAAAAAATTGTTTTTATCTGTTTGCTTTCAAAACCTGATGGTTTTGCAACTGTGTGTTTTATCGTTTGTGAAGCACTGTCTAAAAGGGATATTAAAAACTGCTCTTTAAATAAACATATTATTATTATTATTTACTAGTATATTTTTCTGTTTGATTGTTTATGTGATGTTCATGTGCACATGGTTTTATTGCTGCAAAACTACTGTCGGGTGGCTGTGCAGGAATGACAAAGCCTATCTCTGGTGGTCAGAAGGTTATGCTGAGCCATCAATAAACTCTGTCTAGAGCATATGATGTGTCAGCTCTATAAAGGAAGATCCTTTTATGTCAGAAGACACTGAAGTTCTTACTTTTATATTCAGTCACATTAACAGTTTCCCTCTCTGAATGTAGGGGTAGAATAAGAAATAGTGGAAACTGAAAACCACAATAGAATAAACTCATTATTCACTGCTTAATTTGTCCATTTCCAAGTATTCAAATTGTTTCCTGTCCTGGCTTTAGGTTAAGATCATGTCCTCCTCGTACCCTCTGTCTGTCCAGCTGACGTACTGCCCTACACTGCAGAAATCAAATTACCGTAAAACTTTGACTGACAGCCCGGGCTTTTATTTGCTAAAATCACTGAATTGACATTTGATATGGGACAGGCCTTTAATTCCTTTTTCACAAAACTGAAACTACTTTGAAACAGTTTATTTATTTCAAACAGAATAATACTTGTATAATATTGATCAAATACACGCCATTCATTTCATCTAGTTCCAACAACCGGCTTATGCACTTTTATTTTGAAGTAACATCATGACAACAACACGGTGCAGGAAGTTAGCAGACAGAGAGTGATGGACTTCACATGACAGGTTTCACAACTTGGATTAATTGAAAAGCTGTTTTGATTTTTTTGATGGGTGGACCCTTACAGAATAAAGGAATATAAATAATCAAGGAAGGACACATTTGGGCTTAACGAGCGCACTTAATGAGCGCTTCAAAGGTAAAGGCAGTCATCATTTTATTTCCTTTCCTCTCTTGTACCAGGCAGGTTACACCGGTAAATCTATAAGAATTAGACTTTGGGGCTTGTTGTTTCCCTTAAATGAACTGAACTATTGAATTGTGGAGAATCTAACCAATCTAACGATGTGTAGCATGTTCATACGGACATATTAATAATATGTTTAAACATTAATATTTGTATTAACGATCTAAGCAGCTTAGAAGCAGCTAAAGCGGGTGACCCCACAGGGGTTTAAGAGTTTTTATGTATCCAAAGAACTTCTATAAAAACTAGACCAGGCATTAAATTGAGGCAGGTGTTTATTTGTCAGAATGTGTTCCCACACCAGGCCAGTAAACGGGATAGGCTATTTGGGACTCGGCTATTAATTGAAGTTTTACGGTAGGCAGCTAAATGCAACCAAGCTTTATTATGTTACATTCCAGCTTTGAACCTTTTCACCTCAAAACTCACTTCCTGTTTTCAGGCGACAACATCTTGGCAGTCCTGAGGTACCTGGCAAACTCAGAGAAGTTGGCTGATTCCTCAGAGTACCGTCATGGCAACATGGTATTTTTTGACCTATTAGGAGTAATTGTGGTGGCTTACCCAGCCCGTGTTGGAACCATCCTCAACTACTTGGTAGCCACAGCCACCTTCCTTTATCTGGCAAAGAAAGCCTCACTGCCAGGCAACAGAGGTAGGTCACTATTTCCTTTGGTAGAGGCATGTTGTGTCATTTCCTGTACTGGAGGTGTGTCGTGTGTTTTCCTCTTTGTGTTTTTTTTTGCAAAATGTAAAAAAAGAATGGTCCAATCCATCTCTCTCAGGTGGTCGCTATGTTCGAGATCTGGCCTGTGCCACAGGTGTAACAGTCCTGAGCTGGATCGTCACCCTGATGTCAGTACTGATTGTAGCTCTGCTAGTCTCTCTGCTGGGCCGCTCCATGTTTTGGTACAACCATTTCTACGCCTCCATCTGTCTGTATGGGGCTGCTGCCACAGGCAAGATGCTCCTCATTCACACGCTGGCTAAGAACATTTACTTTGGGGTAAGTGGAGTTAATAAAATAGGAATTCCTTTAAAGGTATAGTTCGACTTTTAACAAATAACCTTAATTTGCTTTTTTGCAGCTAGTGGGTTTCTACTACAGAATCTACCTACTAGCACCTCTAAAGTAACTGCTGCTTCCAGTCTTTATGCCAAGCTAAGCTAACCATCTCCTGGCTTCAACTTCATATTGAAGGAAATGCTATCAAAAAGGGTGTTCATGCAGAATTTGAACTATAGTCTATAGTCTACACAATAAAATACTATTCTTTTATCACACAGATCAGAATAGTGAAAGGGAGGGGTATTTCAAATATCATGAATCTACTTGGTGGTTTTTATGGTATTGTCGTTTAAAACCTGTATTTTAAGGGTTTTTAAACCTCTGCAGATGTTTTAATATATTAAATGATATCTCTGGCTGACCCGTGGTCAGCATTGGTTGAGTTCTCAGTACAAACTACATATGCATCACTTTAGAAGATGGTACCAATACCAATTTATTTGCAATTTGCTTGTATCGGCTGGTCATATAGGTGTGCCAATTTATCAGTCGGGCTCTACTTAAGTTAAATGGGAAAATTATGTGTATAACCATAAGTCTATGCAGACAAGTAAGCGTTAGTATTTACTCAATTGAAGCTGAAAGAATGTTGACCAGCTTGACTTTTCATAGTTGAGAGTTTCCTCTGAGCACAGAGTAGATTTTGTTTTGGTATATTTCTTGAGGTAAAGATGAGGTCACATTATTTCTTTGAGCTTAATATGTAATGATGACTCGCTGAACTCACATTTAATGGGGACAAAAGTGCAGAGAGCAGAAAACCAGACAGCTCCTCTTCCTCCATGGGTATTACACAACAGCAGCTCTTCGTGTGTGTGTGTGATTATAAAACAGTAGAGGCACCAGCTAGTTGCAGCTCAACTGGCATATTGTTTGTCTGGCATTTAGTAAACACGCGTTTATCTGTGTTGATATTCATCTGGAGCTCACCACATTATGAACTGAACTGCTTTTCATGGCCATTTTCAAGAGGACAAGGCCACAGACTAACCTTTCTGCCAGACTACATAAGGCTTAATCTCCAGTGCAACAAAACCTCTATTGAAACAGCGGAATATATCTGTGGCCTCATTTTAAATTATATTTTCTTTGACAAAAGAGTCTAGATAGGACTGTCAAGTTTTGTTTAAAGCAGACAGAAATCATTAGCTCTTACAGAAGATGAAATTAATGATGCCTGCATGAGAACTCCACAACTCTACACAAGTACAGCTATTTCCGCATACTCCCTGGCAACTGGCAAAGTACCCCCTGTGGTATAAGTACCCATGATTGGAAGTTATTTTCAGGCAGGCAATACTAAAATATTCATCTTTTAGCCTACAAGTACATGCAGACTGTTAAATTAGAAACAATGATCTCTGTGTGGTTACAGTTCTACATCAAATGACCAGAATCTACTGAACAATGTCCGTGTAGACACCTGGGATTTATTTGCATGGCAGTGATGTGAAACCAATCGCTGCTATATAGATTTGTTATGTGTGTTTAAGGGTTTCTGTATAACAGCTGGTTGACCAATCATTCAACCAAAGGGCAATGTGAGAAAAGAGCTGGGCGATTGCCTCTCTGAAGCCAGGATCTTGATGTGCATTTTAATCAAACAATACTGCTTTTGTGGGATGATGTGCGCTGTAAGGAAATATTTCTGCAAGCCTCTCAGTCATCCTACAGTAATGCATGGTAAATCAGGTCCGTGAATACTTCCTGCATTAGTTTTTTCTCCAAACCCTTTTCATTGGTTTTGTGTTGTTTTATGGTTGTTGAGAATATTTCTTAAGGGGCTTTGTTGATGTAACAGGGAAACATAAGACAGGTCTAGCTTAGAGTAATTTAGCTGACCCCATAAGGGTTTTCTGACATTCTAGCTTTAGGTATTTCTCACATGTACTTGTCCTTGTCAGGGAGACAACAATAGACTGATTAGTTAGAGTCAGTAGCTCAGGCGTCAGGCTAGAAGATATCGGTGTTCACTGGGAATCTAACAGGGTTGAGTCCTACAAGAATGTTTACAAGAACTCACTGGCTCCACAGATTAGAGTACAGCTCATGGATAGTGATAGATTCCAATATGCCGAAGCATTGGAATCTAAACATCAGATAGATTAGTTGTTCTAGGTTAAGGCCAGCTAAAGATGACCTAATAGAGAAACCTACAGGCACTAGGGGGAAGACAGAAACATAAAAGGGACCAAAAGACGTTGTCCTTCAGATTTGGTGTTGGCATTTGACGTGTTCACATGTTGTATGCTGGCACTGTTTCTCCTCGGCCGGGCTCAATAAACCATGCTATGTTAAGTCTTCGTCAGTCTCCGAAACTTCTTTACACTTGAATCTGGCTCACAGTATTTCTCAACAATGGTTTTACGTTTCAGGGAAGAACCAAGTCATTTAATTTATTCTCTGTTCCTCTCTGTTTAGTGTTGCCCCACAACGGTCATGAGTTAGTGATTGTCTTATTTGCAACAGATTTTAATCCCAAATAAATTGAACTGAAATATACAGATAATTGTGATGATGCCTTGAATAGAAAGGAGAAAAGCAAAAACAGCTCTGTTAGTCCATGAAATGTAATTAAATTGGTAGAAATAGCAGATGCTCTTCCTTCCTTACTTCCTTAAGTTTGGATTAAAACATTGATTTTGTCTATATTGTGATGATAAAAGCTAAGAAGGAAAACATTAAAGGAAAACTGCTCAAACACACTGTATATCTTAGCTACATTCTTGTGTACTGATAAACACAGCTAAACATGGATCTATCAACAAATTTAATATTGAGAGAAACGATTCTAATAAAGATGATCATTCATCCAGATTTCTTGTGTGTGTGTGTGTGTGTGTGTGTGTGTGTGTGTGTGTGTGTGTGTGTGTGTGTGTGTGTGTGTGTGTGTGTGTGTGTGTGTGCTTTCCACGCAGGGTGTCCGTTTGGTGGAGTTGGGTGATCTCTACTTTGACGTTAGCTTGTTGCTGTGGTGCTGCAGCCTGGTCTGGCTGACCCAGCTGGGCCTGTGTTCGGCCTACGTGCCCATGCTGATGGTGGCCTTCCCCCTGGCCACCAGACTGCTGCTGGCGAAAGAATTTAAACATAGAGGTAAAGAATTTACACACAGAGGTAAACACTCAATTCAAGCCTTATTTACATTGAAGTTTATTTATAAGCAAATTAAAAATACTAGAAATTGGGACACAAGTGGAACTCTGTGGAAAGTAAGGACTCAAGTGTTATTCTTCTTCAGGTGTTGATTTTGTTGAATCCCTCTTAGCAGGAAGATCAACCTAGGCCACTTTAAGTCATTGTTAGATGATCTAATTGATGGCTCTTATTTTTGGAAAGTGGTGCTTGCTTAATATAAGGACAAATAGTTAAGTAGTTTTCTAGCTCATTGCTGGTTTCAAACTGATATTAACACTAAACGGACTACATTATTAATTTAAGTGAATTATTTGAACAGCAACTGTATAGAATGATTCTGTCCCAAGCTTTTTGATCCAAATGAGCCAAAAGAGTCCAGCCTGATGATCTGATCCTTGCTGTGTTCACGTTGATCTCTCGGTTTTTCTGCAGGAGCGTCCCTGAAGTACACTGTGCTCTATCTGTTTGGCCTGGCGTTGCCATATGTCCACTTCATGTTCCTCATCTGGGTGGTGTTTGAGATTTTCACACCCATCATGGGTCGCAGCGGCACAGAAATACCCCCTGAGCTGGTGCTGGCTTCCCTGGTCACCCTGGCAACAGTCTTCCTCTCCTCCTTTTTTGTGAGTATTGCCACATTATGTACAGCAGTGATAAACAAAACTGGATTTTTGTTGTCTGCAGAATTACCTTAAAATCACATTGATCATGTGTACTCTGTCCTGCATACATTCCCCAATTCACAACCAAACAATTTGGTCAAGTTGATGGCAGCAGTGTTTTGTTTGAGCATTTACTGACATTAGTTACTTGACTTCAGATAAGAAAACCAACAGCTGTTTAAAGCTGACTGAGTAATGTAAAGTAATGTAAATCTTGCAGATGGTAGCTTAGTTTTTTTTTTAGATAATCTACCATTTCACTAAAAACTGCAGTGTCGATTGTTCCTCCACGCCAGTAACATATTTTTCTGTCTGTCTCAGCTGCATTTCATCTACTTGGCACGGAGCACTAAGTGGATCCTGGCTGGTCTGGGCTCAGTCTTCATTGTCACGTTCATGTTGGTGTCCAGTGGGCTCCTCTTTCCTTATTCAGGAAGTCCAGACAGCCCGCGGCCCAAACGAGTCTTCCTGCAGGTTCAAAAACACACACACACACACACACAGAAACCTAAATATTTACTCTAAACACATGCATTTGTTCCATTTCTCTCTAGACAAATGACATAGAAATCACTCATATTTTCACATTTTTATCTTTACCTAAAAACTAAACATTCTGTACATTTCTGTGTTTTCCACTTTGGATTTTGAAGATATTTGACCAGTTTTGTAAAAATTTTATACATTATTGAAACTGGGGGAAAAATATCCTCCATCCCCCATTCTTAAATGGAGGACTCTTTCATGGTTGGGAACAAAACATCCAAAATAAACAGTGTTGATGCCAGGAAAAAACGGCTACATCAAAATTGTAAAAAAGTTTTGTTTGGTTTCAAATGACCACCCTGCAGTGTAGCTCCAGCCTGCACGATTAAAATCTCTTGTTCGGAGCAGGTGAAATACAAAACCCCTCTATTGCATGTTATTTTTGTAACTAGGACACCGAATTCCATGACATCTCTCCACACCTGTTTTCCTGATCTAGAAAACTCGCTCTGATTCGACCCCTCCACCTGCTCATGTTAAGCTCCATTAAGTAATTCTGGCAAGAGTAGAAAAGCACTCCATTAAACAGCTGTAAAACAAGGCAGGTTGAAGTAAAACACGCTTAAAAGAAGCAAGTAACTTAATTTTTAAAAATGTTTTATCCACACCCCTGCAGCATACAACGCGGACCTTCTACAATCTCCAGGGCCAAGTGGAGAGCCGGGACTCAGGTCTGTGGATCAACAGTTTTGACTACACAGGTATACAGCACATCACCCCACACATCCCTGAGATCAACGACAGCGCTCGCACCCACTGCCATCAGGACCGACCCTTTTGTGGTTACCCCTGGTTCCTGCCGGTGAAGTTCCTCAGCAAGTCAGTGACACAGCCCTGCAGCTGACAGCATAGTCTCAATGCTCTTTGTTTCATTAGCTTATAGACATTTATACATACTTAGTGTTCTTCCTCGCCTCAAGTATTTTGGTGCATTTGCAGGAAAAACTGGTACCTTCCTGCTCCAGAAGTGTCTCCCAGCTCTCCAGTGGAGTTCAGCCTGCAGTCCAAAGAAGACACCAGCTGGGGGACCATCAAGATGACCTTCAGCGTGAAAGGTCAGGAGCACTTTATGTTTCCATAGGTTATCTTTGTATGAGTTGCAAGCAAGCTGTCATGTGACTTCACTTGGACTTGAGTCATATGACCAGTTCAGAAGAGGTAATGGCTGATGACAGCAGCATATTCTCAGCCAGCATACTGAAAATATCCAGTGACACATCAACTGTTATGGAGAGTTTACAATCAGCACTTGGTTGTCCAAGTTCATTTGATTTTAACTTTCCTTGGATACCTATGACATGAAAGACTGAGAACATTCATATACAAGTTCAAGTTTCCATTTTCATGTCATTGTTAGAATTTGAGCACATTCAGTTTTGGGTTTCTAGTGGCGAGCAGATTTGTAACCCTCACTGTACAGCCACTGTCACAGATATAAACTGTCAATAATGTCAGTCATTTTCCAACTGGCTGATCTGGATGCATTTGTGTGCACATACCTGCATGTTAACTTGTGGACTTGTGTCTTGTCCTGTCCCGTGCAGGCCCCAGTCACATGTCTCTGTATCTGATGCCTCACCGAGGAGCCACCCTCTCTACCTGGTCCTTCGGTGACGGGACGCCTCAGCTAGATCTGAGTGGAGAATATTTTGTCTTCTATTCCCATGGCCTCGACGCTCCCACATGGACCTTCTGGTTTGAAATACAGGTAGTGCCTGCAGCTGAAGGGGCATTCTGTACTTTTTGTACTAATTAACATTTCATATCTCTGCTCTGTTTCATGTGAATTATTCAAACTGCTTTCTGTTTTCGGTCATCTGTGAAGGGATCAGTGTCACCCAGTTTTGATAGTTGACAAAACTTTCTATTGATGTAAAATATTGAAAATGTCACTAAGTAAAGTTTGACATTTTGGGAAACACACTTATTCACTAATGTGTAAATGAGTGAGCTTTAGAGATGCTGGTAGGTGGATTTGTTTACCTTCAGACAGAGCCAGGCTTGCTGTTTACCCACTTTTCCAGTCTTTATGCTAAGTTAAGCTTACTGTCTCCTGGCTCCAACTTCATATTTAGCATACAGACAAGAGTGAGGTATCAGTCTTCTCGTCTAACTCCAAACCAAACGTGTATTTCCCAACATGTCAAACTTCTCCTTTAAGATTGTTGTTCTTGCCCACAATATTAAATATATAAGGTACTGCTGCATCTGCTGCAGCCTGCAATCCATCTTAGTCATTATTTTAATTACGCACATTTCTAGATTTATGCTAAACATCACCGTAGGACCTCAGTCATTGATGTCTGCAGGAGTTTAGCTTCCTGTCAGAACACAGTTGGTCTATGTTGCTGTTGCTGATAACCTTTAAACTCCAATTCAGAAGATTAACATTTTTTGAATTGCATGGGTTTAAACAAACCCATGACCTTTTTAAAGACTCTCTTTAAAAATCATTGCATGAGCTAAAACACATGCAGGTATAATGAAGCTTAAGACAAGGTGATTCTTCTAGAGAGTTGTAGAGCAGCTAAACTCAAATTGGGCCAACGGAGGACCGTGACGTCTCCATTGGCTAAAAGAAGATGGTGCTAGAGATTGTAACTCTTATTCTCTTATTGTACATCCCTGCTGCTTTCTCTGACAACATACAATGGGACTGTTAAAACTAAATACTGCCAGCTAATACTTCTAATATACAGCTGTTGCTAGCGCGGAAACATGCCTACCAATTTCTACTAATGAAGATCAGAGCTCAAAGTTTAAAAATGTTTCAAGACCTTTTGGACAGCACAACATTTATTTAGTAATAACACGTCAGTTGTATATTTTAATTGCTTACATGATACTTTCCTGGATCTGTTTAACGTTTAGCTTGTGGAAACAAGAACAAATTTTAGTCTTTGTGTTAATGCTATGACTCCCTGTAATAGTGTATTTGTATAATATTTTGTTGTAAATAAAGTTTTTTTTTTTTTAAATCACTGGCTGCCATCAACTACAATGTTTGCACATGCGTGGTACAAATTGTGCGGGAATAAGTACGCGCATGCGCAGAATGGACCGACCCTACTCAAAGGGAACACGACTTGAGGAAGGCAACAGCCAATCATAACAGACTCTACTGTGAGGGGGTGCGGGTTGAGGGGGTGTAGCTTGAGGTGCTACAGGCTGCAGCCAGACCTTATAGGATAAACTGCTTCTCTGGTTCTGGTCCTCTCACATGTCAACTGTCTGTCTGACATTCTTTCTTTCTCTCCCTCTGCCAGCCTCCCAGGGACCCGGACCCATCAGGCCCCGAGGGGATGATCTCTGTTGCCATCTCCTCCCACTATTTCTTTGGGCAAGACCAGAGGACTGCTCAACTGGAGGAAATCCTCCGTAGGTTCCCCGCATGGGCTTTTCCTTCGTCTTGGGTCAGTACCTACGACATGTACCGATACTGAGGGCGCCACACATCAGAGGCTGACACTGAGAAGAGCTGAGGACTGCAGGGGCCCGGAGACAGACAGATCATTTCAAAGGAATAATACTGAGGACCAGCCCTGCTGCCTTTTCACTCTGACACAAACACACACACACACCCTCCCAGCCTGCCTGAGAGAACCCCCATCACTGTGTCAGTAGGCTTAGTAGCTAACCAAGCAGGAAGGTGCCTGCCAGAGGTAGGCTGATCCAAAAGCTTACAGACTGACTAACTCACTGTCCAACGGCCATCACAAACCTCATGCTCACCCCGGGGATAATGAAACAAAGGGGTTATGATTTATTTTGTACTCAATTTGTTGTGCCTTTGCTTTACTCACACTCCTCCTCACTTTCCCCCTTGCTCACTCCCTCTCATTCTAACATGCTAACAGCCTGTATGAAAAATGTCACATGGCTACCTCCCCTGCTCCCTCTTCATCTGCAAACCACTCGAGTGGCCCGAGTGGTCCTCTGGCGTCCTCTGCGAAAATCACACACCCGCATTCTGCACTGTAGGTGTAGTAACATACTGATGGATCTGTTTGGGAAGGGGAAAGAAGTTTTCTTTTTTTTTTATCCTACCGCCGACTTTAACTGGAAACGTTGACATCTTCAAAGTCGCTTTTCACAAACACACACTACTACATACTATGAGAAAATAGTTTTTGTATTAGCTCATCAGTTAACTGTGAAATTTCTCACTATCATTCCTCATTAACACCACTGATTAAGCCGCAGGTCGTTCCCCTGTGTTTCATTTAAGAATGCCAAAAATCTTCTTGAATTGTCAGAGACGCTGGCATGCAGATGCAGAAAACTGTGCCTGTTAAATTAAACAGATGGCTAAAATGTACAATGTCAACATGTCCTCTTTAAAGGAGTAGCCTTCATGAAGATTTTGCGCTGAGGGCATATTTTGAGGTCTGAGTTTTCCCTCTGATGTGTAACTTTGGGCTTGTGTAATTGTAACTGTAATAGTATTTGTACATGTTTTCAAACTTCACTTCTGCTCTTGCTACGGGCGTTCTCCAGCAGCACCAATGAATATCTTCTTGCGATGAAAGAAAGTAGAGACACAGTGATTCATTTATCAATAAGTTGATCAAAAGAAAATAACCTGCAACTATTTTATTGTTCGATTAATTGTTTTAGTTTGTCGGACAAAAACATCTTAAGACTTGATTATGGGAAGAAAATTGATCAAGAAAACAATTGTCAGTTGCAGACCTAAAAGAAGGTATCGAGTCATGGACAGTAAATGTACATCTTGGCTGCAGACCAAGATAATCAAACCTAATCAGAGTTAATCAGACCTTGATGCATCTTCAGTCAATTGAACCACTAAAATCACATCAAAACAAAAAAAAACAAATAATCTCTGCTGTAGACAGTAATTCTTTAGTGAAGTGTGAATGGAGCTTGTGAGTTAGCTGACCCTGCTATTTGACTCCGCGTTTCATCTGAGAAACATATGGCTAATTATAGACCCAGTGAGGAGTTGCACTGCGCTCAGCATTTCATTTCCATTCTCTCCAAGTTGTGCTAAAATGTGTCTTAGAAATGTATAATTATGCATTGGTGCTGATGCAACCAGCTTAAAGTGTTAACTATAAGCTATAACCACTCATTTTTGTGATGTGTTGCTAATCTTATATTTCACCGATGTGGAGCTGCAGCTTCTTTTGTCTTGAGCCTAAGTATCACAAACTCAGTCCAGTTTATATGACATGGCATGTTACAGTTAGGGCCGGGTTATACTTGAAAAGAAGTGGTTTGTACGATGCGTCGTCCTCACACATCAAAACAGCCATCACAGAGAGGGGGAGGGGTGATGTGGTTTAAAATGGGGGATAACAGGGCACATCTTTATACAGTCTCATCTGGAGGACGTCCATAGTGTTGCACTTTGTTGTTCCCATGAGAAATGAGTTGTGCCAAGAATGAAAAAAAGAGAGCTGGAGAAAGAAGTTAAATCCCTGTCCCCTTTCTGACCTCCACACAGCTGGCCAATCACCACGTGAAGTGGGTGTGAATGTCGGATCGTCTGTTTCAGAAAGTTACAGAAATTTGACCCGGGAGAGGGAGTTTCTGAAACTATTCAACCGTCCGACAAGCACTTCTGACGGAGTATACTGGCCCCTTCAGTATCACCACTACCTCCACAGTGATCACAACCGTGTCCGACATCAAGATAACAGCTGTTAATGTTGTTGTAAATGTTAAAGACATGAATGTTGTTGTTTGAAAGATTTAAATGATTTGGTTAGAGAGAGAGATTACTTTGATGGGTTATAAAGCATCATCATGTTCACCTCTGTTTTCTGCTAGCAAAGTGGATATTTATTGATCTATCCGAAGAGGTTTCCACAGCCTATTGAATCTCATAGCTGTGTTATCAGAAAATCAGGACAACTGTCGTCTCCCTGCCTTCAGTACCACTCTGACTTGACTCCCCCTATATGTAATCATAAGTGGAATCAGGTTGTCAGTTACTTGAGATTGATTTCTCTTGGAAGATCAACTTAAGTAGAACCATCTTTTGTCCACTTTGTGTTGCACCTGGTGACGTGTGGTAGTGATCCATATTGTCTGTATGTGAATTGTTGTCTGTTGGAAAGTTTAAACCTAAAAACCATCACAGCCTTCAACACTTCTTGGCAAGTTGAAAACAGATTGTCCCACAATGCTCATTTGTTTGTGCATAATCTCACTACAAGGTCCACTCAGAAGCCATTCTGGAGCTTTCGACTGTATCTCATGATCATGATCAGCACGTGGAGTTGACTAGTTTGTCATGGAAATGTAGATGTTCAAAAAGTTTCTGATTTCTTGGCCATGCCAGCTTATAAATTGAGAGTAAAAGTTGAAAGTTAATTCTTTTTGCTGTTTCAATCTTGTTTCTAAGCATGAACAAAAACGATCTGCTGAGGAAGATGTTGTGATATAGAGCTGCTGCTGAGTGGACCTTAGGGCGATGTGTTTGGTTTTTTTCTTTATCCAAATGATCTTCATCAGCTGACAGGAGCATAAAGACATGTCTGGCCTCAGTGTCCCTTGAATTTAAATCAGACTGTAAGACGCAAAGAAGAAATTCATCTTAAAGGACCAAACCTGTGATTTTGGTACATTTTTGCTATTTAAGACCGATTATACGTACTTCACATAACCTTCTGTAACAAACGGTGAAAGCAGCATACTTGTTTGGATTTGTTCAGGTTTGATTTGCATGTTGTGATCGAGGGAAAAAAACAGAAAAATAAATTAGGAAAAATAGTTGGCTATAATGTAAATGTGTTAAAACATGAGTATGGTCCTTTTTATCCATATTTAATCATTTCTTTTCCACACAGTCATAAGTCAGCAAGAGCACCTTGCTCGCTGTCTGAGGTTTCAACTAATTGTATTTAGGTTTTGTAGTCCATCAGTAGGGCATGGATAATTAATTAACCCTGTTGTTAATGAAGCAGGAAATTATGTGTTTCTCTTTTTGGCTGACTCACAGCGTGTCAGGCTTTAAAGTTGCTCGTATTAACCTCACCGTAACCTGGTCTGCACAGCACAGCAGTGCTTGGAAATCTGAACCTTGAATGTGTTTATCTTTTCACAACATGAACGTTTTTACTTTACTGTGGACAGAAAAAAAGGAATCGGGGCTTCTGAATTGTCGTATCTTTTGTTCTTTGATTGAACATCTAATGATGAGAATCTGTTATTGCAGCTGAAACAAGCATGTATTTGAAAAAGACCTTCAGGAAAAGAAACCCACACACACACTGTTGTGCACGTGCTGCTTTAAGTAACAGAAGAAGATCTAAATAAAATGATTGATATGCAGTGTGTCTTTGGGAGAACAAGTTTTATTAACAAATGTAACTTACTATTTTTCTAAAACTCTGTTTTGGTATGTTTGAAAAGCATGGAATCGGAGGAGGTGGTGCTCCTACTGTTAGACTAAAGCGTACGTCGAGTGCTGCTAGAGAGCTTAACAGAGAGAGAAAACAAACTCCTTGTAGGATAAAGTGAATTTAAATAGTCACTTGTCGGCAGAATCTAATGTATTAATAACTTAGTTTAGACTGAGTGGCTGACCAAGCGCTGCACAGTGTTTTTTTGTTGTTCAGAGTAAACTCATACATGGACGTAGCTTTATCTTCGTCACGTGTAACCGTCACTCATGCACACAAATGTTAATATCAGCTTGGGAAATTAACAGTTTAGCTGAAATCTCTTCTGGGATACATGTTGAAATGTCTTAACGCCTGTTGTTGATGAATGTCCTTTTTTATTTTTATTTGTCAGTTTCGTTATCATTACCTGAACTGTGTTTTGACCAACACTATCTAGGCCTAGTTGTTCAGTTTTTGTCCTGAAGGTTACATTTAGATTTCTTTTTTTGAACAGGACAGATCATTTGGTTCTTTTTCATGATTGATTTAACACTTTTTTTCTGTCAAAATGTTGTTTTTTGTTGTTTTTTTAAATTGCATATTTGTCAATTGGAATTAAGTGATTGATAGGACTGCTGCAGTTTGGACTGATCTGGTTACAGGGTGTCCATCTGTTGAATGGACAGGATGATTTTACATTATACAAAAAGGTTGAATCAAATTAGGACTTACAGCAATTAAAATGTTCTTTACATTAACGTTGTTTGCTTCTGAGGTTGTATTGCAGTGTCAGTCAAAATCTGACGACTTGACTACTGACTACTTTCAATTTGTGACCACTGTACCTCTTTGTTATTGCAGTTTTGCCTGTTTGGCATATACATTACATAATAGTTATTAATTTAGCTGACGCTTTTATCCAAAGCAACTTACAATTGCTATATATGTCAGAGGCCGCACTCCTCTGGAGAAACTAGGGGTTAAGTGTCTTGTCCTTTGTCCACACCAAAGGCATGTCTCATCCACTGCTCTATCGACACCCCACAGATAAGTGTTGGTTGGAAGACCAGCACAATACCAACTGAGCTATCCAATACGAAGTTTGTAGTAATGACGCTCAACACCGTTCTTTTTGATGGTTAAATAATTCAGCAGTTAGACTGATGCAGCGGTTTGGTCTCCTCCGTAATTGTAGTTGTCTCATGTAATTTTGAAAACACACATACTTTTGACTGCCTGACATCTGATTTTACACTGAACAAAATTATAAACACAACACTTTTGTTTTTGCTCCCATTCATCATGAGCTGAACTCAAAGATCTAAGATGTTCTCTATGTACACAAAAGGCCTATTTCTCTCAAATATTGTTCACAAATCTGTCAAAAATCTGTGTTAGTGAGCACTACTCCTTTGTTGAGATAATCCATCCACCTCACAGGTGTGGCATATCAAGATGCTGATCAGACAGCATGGGTATTGCACAGGTGCGTGCCTTAGGCTGTCCACAGTGTACCTACCCAGCCAGATTCAAAATTAAGTACTGTACTATTACTGTATGGTATATTCTGAATTATTGCAATCTTAACTTTTGTACTATTTTTGGCCATCTCTATAACTTCAGTGCCCAGACAGGTGAATTTCACATAAAAAACACTGCAGAAGATCCTTTCTTTGTATTTTGACTTGAGTAAAACTGAACCAGCAGAACTTCAGTTGGAGTTCAGTTATTTACACATGAAAAGACAGATCAGGAGAAATTCAAATTTGAACACTTTTATTCAGTTATGTGTTGCATTGTTTAACCATTAGACATATTTCATTAGTGCGGAAATTTAGAGCCAATTGCTTCCCAATTACTGTGTGATTTTGAAGAATGTGGGACTAACTGGAGCACCCAGAGAAAACCCACACCACCATAATTGGACGACACAAACTCCGGGAATCCAGCACTCGCCTTCTAGCTATGAGTCGCACCATGGAGGTAGCTATGAGAACTCAAGTCCTGTACCACAACCAGGTAAACTCCTACTTAAAACTTTAAATGATATGTTAGGGCCTACATTTTTTAACCATTAAACAGCATTGCAAAGGGTGCAGCAATGGCTTTGCCCAAAGAGGAGAAGAACCTGCAGATGGACCTGCGGTTCTTTCTGGCATACTCCGGTGACATATGAAATGCACTGGTCAATCAGTGGGTATTCTAAACGTGTGCAAATGAGCAGCATCACTGCACTAACCCACCTCTACAGGGACTTCAAAATGTCCTCAGCGTGGTTTATAGGAATCTGTGGGTCTAATTCATCATAATTTACATGACCCATTACATTTAGTTGACTCTCTTATCCAACGCAACTTACAATTGCTATATATGTCAGAGGTCGCACGCCTCTGGAGCAACTAGAGTTAAGTGTCTTGCTCAGGGACACCTTGGTGTCTCACAGTGGATTTGAACTCAGGTCTCTCACACTAAAGGCATGTGTCTTATCCACATCCCCATCACCACCTCAGCTCTTCTCATATCTTTTCAAACAGTGATGGGCTCCCCCAGGAGTCCTTGAGGGGGTTCCAGCGGGTCACCAGCAAAAAGGGGAATCATTTATTTTCACTATAATTCCTTCCATAAGTAACATAGTGACTGAACTATTTTGGTCATGGATTTCATACACTTTCTGGAATAAAATATCTAAAAGCCAGAATCCTATCAGATGGGCAATCCTGGGACAAAATCTTATCAAATGGGGGTCCGTGGTCTAATTTGTGTCAGTTTAGGGGTCCTTGACATGAAAAAATTTGAGAACCACTGATTTAGGAAATGTATAAAATAGCCAAGAATTAAGGAGGCAAACTCTTCTGAACACGTGGACTTCAGCATGCGCTCTGCCCCATTCCTTGCGCACGGTCTTGAACACAAGCTCGGTGTGGTATTGAAGGGTCTCTGAGGTAATTTCATAATCATAACCTACACGATTGAGCTCTTCCCATATTTTTTATGCAGGCTGTCAATGATTGTCACTGAATCTGTCAGGGTCCATGTGGATTTGGGCCCTGCTTTCTTGAAGAAATTATATAACAGTTTCTCCTCAGTGTCCTGACATGCATTTTGGTTTCCAGCCTCTGTTCCCTGTATATTCTCAGTAGCTCATTTGGTTATTTACCCAGGTAATGAATGAAATACTCAATATTTTCATTCGTTTTAGTAGGCTCTCTGCACTGCCCAACTCCGTAGAGGAGACTGGGGATGGTTGTAACACTTTTTGCTTCAGTAACCATAATCGGCTGATTTTTTTTTAGCCAGAAATCTCAAACTTTTATACAAAGTACCCACATCTGTTCACTACAAATGGGACCAATTCAATCCTCTACAAGAATATCACAGACCTCGTGAGTTGATTTCAAATGCATTGTGTTCCCTTGTTACAACTTATCCCAATACCGGGGTAATACTGGGTAAGGTGTAACAATAAGACAAAAGAAGCAAAATACATGCCCCACTATATGATATGCTTCAAAAACAAACAAAAAAAGGTAGTGATATAAAATAAAAATGTTTCTCTCTCACTGTAACAGACTATGTCTGATGACATGTATGTTTTTCAAAATTTATCCAGCCTATAGAATAAACTTACTTAACAGTATACTGCTACAATGTACTTAATTAAAGAACGTATTTTTACATCCTTATGTCTAACAAAAAAGAGGTCTGTTTCTGTGTGTGTCAATTTGTGTATATTTTAATCAGAGTCACAGTGCTTGAAGTGGACCGTACTCACCGGTACGTGGTGTACCAGGACTTTCTTTTGCACACCGGTACTTCTCACAAGCTGTTACACTTCTTGCATTCGCCACCAGCGCAGACGGAGAATGGAAAAGATTGACTGTTGATACACACGCCAACATGTGAATGGGGAGTACTGGTCACAATGCTGACAACTGAATGCTGGTAAGCCTGGAGTGCAGGTTTGGTGGGCCCAGATTGCAAAGGGCAATCTGAAAATATTAAAATCAAGAAAGTCCCTAGTTTTATGTATAGGGGATGGTTGTGACACTTTTTAAAGAAGTGTTACTACCCACCACACCCCTGCCAGCCAATGTTTAGCTAGTTGTATTGACATAGTGGTTTGAAATTAGAAAGTAAAAAAATGCATCACATGTTGCCTAAGAAACTACATTTCAATCTAATATTAATCAAACAATTTTATCTGCAATAGAATAGATGGTAAACAAAATACAGCCTTCGTCAAAAAAATTATTTTCTGACCTCAAAATCTGTTTTTTCTCTATATATTCTGAATGTGCCTGTTTCCAGCCTTGACAACCACCATGCCTGATCGGGGAGAAAGTAGGTAAATACTGAAATGATCACATAACTCCTATCTTATCTCTAATTGGTCAAATTGGCATTGTTACAACTCTCCCCCATGTTACAACTATTCCTGGTCTCCCCTATTCAAGCTCTTAAAAACGAGGTCTGGGAGGTATTTAAAAGCACATGGTGTAATTACCTACGGGGCTGAGCTCATCCCCGTAGGGGTTCAATGATCATATCTGGATATCTTGTCTTCCCCCCCCCCCAAGAGTGTGTTATAGGCCTCCAGTTCTGATACAACCATTTTAAGAGCAGTAAAACACAATGTTGTTTTCAACAGGACAAATAAAAGCAACAGGATTGAAGAGATAATAAAGGAACTAGGCAGGGGGCTAGAACAAACAATTCCATTTTTTAATATGTTATATTAAAAATATATTATATTTTTAAGAGCATGCTATGATGGGGGGATTTAGCAAAGCAACACTTTGTATATATAATAATGATAATATTAATTAGAAACTCATGTAGTTTGTTATTTAAGATTACACCAAATTGGACAGAAAAGCAAAAACATTCTATATTTATGAGTTTGGAGCTTAGTCAATTGTGTAAGGATCTCCATAAACGTCTCATTGTCACATATATAAAGACGTGCTCCGTTGAATTGCATAGGTGGCAGTAACCTACATCAAACTTGAATCTTGTTTTAAGTAATCTGTTTGAGGGATAAATCTTATTTACAATTTTAATGTATTCCTTTGTGTTTAGGAAGAAGTGGAAATTTTAGATATTTTCTTCTAATAGCCAATATTTCAGTTTTTCCATTATTACTGAGGTCAAGAGTCCTCCTTGTTACACCATTATCAGATATTGCCTCAGAAATGTATTGTGGGGTTTTTTGCTGTAAAAAAGTCAACATAGTATTTATATCTTGTAATTTAGGTGTATTTTGTAGATTGCTTTTAATTAGCCTAACTGAATAAATGCCAATGGAGTGTTTTGTGTCACCTTAGGTTTTTTTCCATGGAAAGTCATCCAATCTAAGTGTATTACCATTTTCATCCAACAGATGCACAATTGACCGTATTCGTTTCTTCATCCAGTCATCCATGAATAATGCTTAATCTGACTGAAATTATGTTCTGAAATTAGGCTCCCAATTTCTTGAACACAAGCGAAGTTAGAGATAACCATATCTCCTCACCATTCTTTAGAAATGATTGAAGCCATTTCACTTTCAATACCCCGTTCATGGTTTCAAAATCTATTGCTTTAATCAGCCTAGATATTTCCATTTTTGTTAACAGCGTTCTTCCAAACAGTGTCATGTCTCTTTGCACACTGTAACAAATTGCTGTAGTTTCTATACAGTAAAAATTTACAGTAATATTTTACAAAGGTTAACTGTAAATCGCAATGCATTATGGATGCATTATTCAAAATAACT